GTATATATGTATGTATATATATATGTATGTATATATATATGTATATATATATATGTATATATGTATATATATATATATATGTATGTATATATTTATGTATATAAATATGTATGCATATATATATATATATATGTATGTAAATATCCATATATATATATGTATGTAAATATCCATATATATATATATATGTATGTATATATCCATATATGTATATATATGTATGTGTATTTATACCTTTTATATTTACATATATATATATATACATATATATGTAAATATATATATATACATTTACATATATACAGATATATATGTATATACACATCTTTGTTATATATGTTTATATATTATATATTATGTATATATTGTCATGATTACAACCAAATTTGACCATAACTCCAACTGCCCTCCCGGCATTTCTCTCGGGGACCTTCACAATCAACACAGGATGCCAGCTGGAAACTTTATTTTCAAATATCACCGTGCGCTTGATGCTTGCGACTAGCTTGGAATCATTTCAGGCGAGAAATACACGGACCTCTTCCTTTGATCGAGCCTGTCTCCAACGCCACATATCCAATCCATATAGAGACAAAGATACGGTGCAACAAATAGCTGGTTTGCAACCATTCCCATTTTACTGGGCGTTTCAAATTCACCGGAAAAAAGACAAAAACCATCAGACACCCAACACTTTTCAGACGCATTCGCACCTTTCAGACGCATTCGCATGACTTCCTCGCGCATGTCCTGCTACCCCGCCCTGGAGCATGTTCATGTCAGGTATCAGTGGCTTGACCGCTTGACCCACCGCCATTCAACACACACACATAGATATATATATATATATACATATATATATTATACATATACATATATACATGGTCCATTTCCTTACTGGCTTATCGAAAACAATAGAACAGGGAAGATCGACCAGTGGATTTATATAACTCGATTTTCGCGACGCCACCAGAGACGTCCCGAAGGGGCACAGCCGACCGATTCAGTCCTCTTGAATCATGGAGCGCGGATTCCGGCGTTCCCACTCCTGGAGAGTTTGTTGTGGCGTTGTAGCCCCACAATGCGGTCATCTTAGGGGAAAGCGATGCTAAAGCAATGGACATCATTGGATTTTGATGGATTTGGGGATATGCAATCTGACAAAGCTGATGAATCATCCTGCATGGCGTGGAAAAGTAAATTATCCCAGAATAACCATCCGCGAAATAGAATTGGAGGACATTCTATCTATATACTGTATTCAAAAAACGACAAAAGTTGGCCTGCAAGGTGGTTGTGGTGAAACGGAGCGATAACTATCACCAAAAGCGAGGCTGGAAGCAGGTTTCTTATGCTTCCTCTCTAGAAATGACCTTCCGGGGGGAAATCTATGGCCATTATATATATATATATATGTATATACTGTATATAGTAACATATAGGTTGAGTTTCTAATCACACGGCCCTTGTACCCACTGCGGTTTTCAAAAGCCTTGGCCATTGGGCTCAAAATAATCGCCCCCGCTTAAAAAAAAAACAGCAGGAACATGTATAGTAATGTAGACTCAATATCATAAATGTTCGATGCTCCTTTTATGCAAGTTTGCATGCCTGCATTAAAAAAACCATCTGGTAATTCAACAGTTTGCTTTTAAAATCTTGTTTTCACTAGGTAAATCATCGAACTAAATTGTGCATTTATGCAGTTAGTTAGCAGATCCTTTTCTATCATGGGTCATCAACTAATCTAAATTATAGAGACATCATATCTATTAACCCCTTTATTATCCATTGATTAATTAGCCATCTATATGTCTTGGCGAATCAAAAGTCATCCTCTGGCACCGCCCACCTGCACACATCGTTCCAGGTCCCGGTACTCGTAGATCAAATCGGGGCTGCGGGTGTAGACCTGAAACCACGGCATGTGGGGCGCTTCATAAAATGGGGTTACCCACATGGATGGTTGATTTCATGGAAAATCCAGGATAAAATCCTAAAATAAACTGGATGAGAACTGGGGGTACCCCAACGACTTAGGAACTCCTATCTGAGGTTTAATCATGGTTTAAAATGGTTTCACTAGGGCTTGATGGTGCTATTAGCTCAGTTATCACTTAGGATTTTTTATTACCATTCACTTTTGGGGGTCTATTATTGGATATATATATATATACGCCTACAATGTGGGCCCCCCCAGTTTTAAGTTGGTTTGCAACCCCCATGAATACTACAATGTGAGACCCCCAAGTTATAAGTTGATTCATAAGTCCCAGTAATTATAGTTATAAGTACCATAAACCACAGTTATTGGAGTTATAAACAAACTTAGCTATCTTGGGGGCCTCACATTGTATAGTTATAAGATGTTATAAGCATCATGAACCATAGTCAAATCGGAGGTATAAGCCAGCTGAGCTAACACAGCATTTCTGTGGGGATAAGTGGTAAACCCTTCAGAAACTGATCATCTGTGGGTCATCGCACTGTCCCCGGATGACCACCCCTGCCTCAAACTGAAAGGTTTGAAGCGACTGACCCGTCTCGCCCGGGGCGAGTTGCTTGATCTTACCTCGGCGCGGAGCCCAGTGATAGGCTGATCGCATTTACATGCAGTGTTTCCAGCAGGGACAGCACCACCACTTTCATATTATTTCGATTTAGAGCACCACTGGGCATCACCTTATTTTCTTGGGCGGGCCCGATGGAAGCCGCGGACTTTATTTGGTACATAACGCAATTGACGGGGTGTGCCTACTTTGTTCCCCAGTCCCGTAGCGTTTTTTGGGGTCTGACCTCGTTTTCCAATGCCGTGCTTGCTTTTAGTAGCTAAATGCTTTATATGAGATGCCTCCCTCGTTCGCGGGGTGTTCCTACCTCGTTTTACGGCCTAATTATGATATTTTCGGCAAACCAGGATACCCCCCAGTACCAATCTCCATTTCCCAGAGCATCCAATGTCTGTCGTATTTGGTTCCATTGGGCTCCGTCTTTCGAAACATTGGCTAACCTATAGCTCAAAAATCTGCATCACAATTTCTCCGAGAACTCATCCGATAAACCAGCTACAGTTGTGGCCCTTTACCAGTTATAAGTACCTACGTATCCTTTTACCTTCTTTTTTTTGGGTTCTTTTAAAATAGTAAACTATTTCTAAAAATAGTATACTATTTTTTTCCCCATAATCAATGATTTATCCTTATTTTTAAAGAACCCAAAAAAAGAAGATCAAAGGCCAGGAAATGCCTACCACGATCCAAGAAACCCTGCGCACCTCCAGAGACCAGATGCATCGGCATGGATGCTTATTCAAGATCATTGGGAATTTCTCCAAAAAAAGGTCTTGGGTTCATTTGAGAACTCACGTGATGAAAGAAAACAACAACCTCCACAGTGCCGCAGAACAGCATCTTTTCTAAGACAGCCAGCCTTCCTTCGAGAAGGCTGCGTATGCAGCTGCAAGGTACCTTTCTAAGGTCCGTGAAGCGACTTTTCGGATATTTACCCTTCGGCTCAGTCGTGAAGCCTTTCCTATCAGGTCTTCATCGATCTGGCAGGCGTACATAGCTGGATTGATGGCGCTTTGATTGCGCTCTCCAGACTGCTTCACTGTTAAAATCAAATGGTGCCAAATATGAAGCTTGGGATACAACGGGAACAGAAACTGCCGATTGGCTCTGTACATTCGCAACGCAAGTTCTGCATAAACTGCTAGAAAGCGCAAGCCCTGCTCAGCAACGTGCGCACATTCAGATTCCCCCAGAAATGCGCCGGCTTTGTAAAGCGTGCTGAACAATGAATTAACTCGAAATGTGGCTTCCCGGCATTTCACCAGCAAACCATCAGGATCACGACCTTCTGAACCCAGTAAATCGACAAGCCATTGGCTCAGATTTGTTGTTAGAGCTCCTTTATGCCAATTCCCCATGGCTCCTGTGGCATCACCATACGACATGAGGTACGCACTGATGCGGCTGACGTGGGACTGCTTGTTGTTTGCACGACACCATTGCATGTAGTGGTCTGTCAGGTAGTCCCACTTTTCGTCCAAATTCGAACAAGGCAAAAATGGTAGGAGCAACTGGATAACACTGCTAATCCAGGAACGACCAAAGCCCAAATGGAACACATGCCAGATGTCCGATTTGAAGAACGAAGCCGGATCACCACGATCATGCATCAGATGCTTGATGATAGCAGGCTCCCGAGTCCATGGCAGCTTCACAGCAACAGTAGGCAACCATTTTGGTGTTGCTGTGGCTATCTCCTCAGCAGCGCACAAGGATGTCCCTGCAAGACAGTATGGGCAGCAACCTTTTGGTGGACCTCTCTCATCTCCACGTTTAGCAAAAGTGTTGTAGGATCTGTAGAAGTGAGCCACCTTGGACAAATATGGAGCATCGCCTTTGACACCCAAAATGCAAATCCGGAAGACCTCGTTTCGAGCCCTGTCCAAGAAGCCGTTTTGAAACAAGCGATTGCATGACCTGGCCACATGGTCAATAGCATCATTGAAGACTTCTGGTTGCGCTTCGTAGGCAGTCTTGGGGATGGTGCTGACCACAAACCTTGTTGTGAAGCTATGCCCAGCAAAATTCACCTGGAGCTTGCGAGCTTGACCATTGTTTCGATCATTAGCTCTGACTCTTTTTTGGTCAAAGCCACGTCCAATAGCACTCTGCAGAGAAGTGACAAGCATTCCGCCTTTTTTCAAAGTGCGACCCTCGTCACCGTGAATCAAACATGCAGCAGTCCGGGAAAAGTCTACCCCTTCCATGTGAAAAAGTTCGAAACCTGGGTTGATCTTTCTGTATTCCTTCCAGAAATTTGCCCAATTCTCTTGGGCACCAGCATAATCAAACCTGTCACAACCAGCCAGCCGTGGCCAAAGGCCTTTGTTGACTAAGTATCTTAGCCATGATTCAGGGGAGATCCAGGGAACACTATGTCCATCGCATTGAATTGTACCCAGTGGCACGTCCAGTTTTGTCTTTTGCTTCTTCATGATTCTGTGGGCATCCCGTTCAGGGTGTGTTACATCAGCTTTGGACCATAAGGAAATGCCATTTTCAGCACATTGTTCCACTCCAAAGTCTTCGGCCACAGCCTTTGCAGTGAGGATTTGGCTGAGGCTGCTGGCCTTGGCCATCAGGATAACCACCAATTCAAAAGCAAAATTCTTTGACAAGTGAGGTATGCAGGGAATCAAAGGGAACAGGGGTCTGTGCGAAAATGAGCAAATTAAGAGTAGAAAGCTGAATCAAGGATCTCAATCCTAGGAATGTCAATCAAAGCAATCTCGACCATCTGTCAGCCACACAACGTTGCAACACAAATGCAACACCACTGGTCACAGCCCAGCGACCCCAATCATTTTTTAACCGACCGCTTCATGCAAACAGCTGCAATCCTAACAATTGCGAAACTCAGCCACAGCAACGAACATGCACCTTTCAGGCGCTTGATGCAAAAGCACTGCCGGGGCTCTTCACTTGCATACTAGGACGCTTCCATGACTTGTACACAACATACGTGAGGAATGGTCCACTATCTGCATCTTGAAGGGCTTGAAGGGTGTCCCCTCCACTTCGCTCATTCTTGCAGCCTTTAACACCTCAGAGGTTGATGCAAACAGGAGGGAAACAAGGAACCATCATCGAAAGGATCAATGCCGAAGAAGTAAAGACAGGACAACATTGCATGCAATCAAGAAACTCTTGTATTGTTGGATGAGGGCTGCTTCCAGAAAAGATGGCACATGTGGGTTTGATGCCGCGAAGAGAATCATCATAAAGTCGAATTTATCCTTTGAGTACCGGTATCCAAAAACAGAATTGTGCCATCGTTTAGCAGCATCGTGTGTAATTCCAAACTTAAAGGTCATTGGCTTGTTGTCAGAGAGCAAGCGTTCAAATGTGCAGCATGCATGCTCTAGCACTTTGCCAGCCGTTGTATCTGGTCTCGGAAGTCGCAGGGATAGGATAGGGTCCTTTTCGATTTTTCGAAATACATCCTGGGATCGTGGAAGGCTTTTGAGATCACCATAGCGCAAATACTGATCCTCATAGTCCAAAAGGGTATTCAATCCACTGGTGCCAATCGGTTTGTCCAGGCGATCAGATTCCAAAGGTAAATGCTGAAACTCCTCATTTTTTGGGCCTGCAAGGGCACAGGACCTCAACCTCTTAGGTTTGCGTTCCCAAGGAAAAGGTCCCAAGGAAGCCTCAGATAATAAAAGGGCAGAGCATGACCCAAACTAAAGCAATTGTGTGTGACAAAAACTGAAACATCATTTTTTTGGTTGGTGACGAGGAGCTGATCGGTGACAGGAAAGGAGTTCAATGAGCTCGTCATCCGAAGTGTCCATGGCATGGTGGCTCGAATTTAAATCATGTTTCAAAAACTGCGTATTGTGGTACCTGGTCATGTTTTTTGAGCACGACGTTCAATCGTGATTATATATGTTTTTCATCAACCCTGAAATTTACAATCTAGGAGTTTACTAACTTCTGCAAATCACCAATCTTAAGTTTTGCAAGTGCGTTCTTGCAAGATCAGTGTGGTGCACTAGACAATACCAGAACCAAAAATTCACTGTTAACACATCAGTTTCAATCATGACTGCACTGCGACAAAAGGCAACACTTGAGTTGTCTAGCTCATTCAGTTGCCCCGATCCGTCTTGGGCTCATGGCCCCTTCGCCAATGTTTGCTGCCAACCTCTTTGCCGACACACCGGCAACACCTGGCAGTTCAGATTCAGGACGTTGTATATTGATCAAGTTGGGAAAGGGATAGTTGATAGAGCGGGTCATGGAGGACTTCCAAACCATTGCAACAGCTCATACAGAAGATAAGTGTGTTGTTTTTGAAATGGGGGATCGACCATATCCAACCTGCAAAGATTTGCAATCATTTTTCCCCCAGTCGCTGAGTTTGAACTCTTGAAATGGCAAAGCCATCAGCAGCACCCTATGTCATCCACGAACGGCGCTTCAGAAGCAACAAAGCTGGGTCCATTGTAGAACTAACAGAAACATAAAAACTACATAGAGTCACCTACAGTAAAGATAAAAGAACCTGGTAATTTATGTATGAGTTATTGTTCAATATATTTGAATATTTTGCGTGCAAACTACGTGTCATCTATGTTGACTTTCCGCTGGATTGCAGAGCACCGAAGTAAACCAAAATAATTACCCATGGGATTATGGACTGTGTCAATTTAACACAATCCAACATTTCCAGAAACTTTTGAAAATCCGTAGATCAAAAGCATCCCCTGAGCTGAACATGTAGGCTCATCACTCCGCCTTGTGAATCTCTTCCTTCTCACCCTTCTTGAAGTGCTTTTTCGCTGTCCTGGCAAGGTGAGTGACTAATTGAAGTGTGGCCCCATTTGCAACCCATCAGAATTATGCCTTTACCCAGTTAGCTCACTCAAAGGAGGTTCGACAAGATGCTCTGGTCTACGCACTGCAGAAGTTGAGGCGATGACCGAATCTTGGCTTCATTCGTCGCCACTTTGGTGCACCTAGGATAGAGCCAAACATGAGCAAAGAGTCCTCATGATATAGCTTCCTCATCGAAAGCAACGGCTCCAAATATAACACACAATAAATTTGGGTGAGGCACACAAAGGTGGAGGACTTCATGGCGAGCTCAGCTTCCTTGCCCCACCTTGCAAGTGTAAGCATATTTGTTGACACAAGGTGATAGGAAATTTGTGATACACTGGATTCTTTCATGAAACTGTAGGAGATGAGATCATCAATTCTTTGTGCCACTTAGCTACGCATCATTGTGGTCATCTCGCTCGCCCCTGGCTGCGAGATCCCCCAACTTGTTGTACTCGGTGTCCAAGGTTTGGAGATCGGCATTGAGCTGCAGAATTGCCCTGGGGCGCATCACTATTTGCAACTCAATTTCAGAGGCAAGGAAGGGGACAGGGGAATCACTGTTGAATGGCACCCCCACTCATTGAGCCCAGAAACTTTTTGGCAGTGGGACACTCCGCATAGTTCTTCTGCAAGTCTGCGGACAAAGATCGCAGTTTGGCACATTTTGCCAACACAGACTCAACGTGCTTGCTGAACACATCCTTGGATCTTGTTGCCTGCCAAGAGAGTTCACCACACAAATAGATGCAATGCACATATGAAGAGAAACCACACAAACTAAGTGAGAAAGGGAAAGGATAAGGTCCCAAGGCCAACTGGGCAATTAAATTAAAACTTGAACAAGAGACGGGTCTGGAAATCACCATGCATGAGTAACATGTCAGCCCATGCACATAATTACCACTGCCTGGCATGCTGCGGAAGCGGTAGCAGAACTCAAAGCTGTTTGACGCTTTTTGTCAGCATCCACCCGGGCAAGGGAAACATCTCCAAGCGTAGCTGGTCCATCATCCTGGCAGGTCGCTGGGACGAGATGTGGACAGTGACTTCAAAATGAGCTGGTTCTATACATTTGAAGGATGAAGCTTGGCACAAACTCTTGGTTTTGGATTCATGGGGTCCTGGGTCACCTCGACCTCTTGTTCAGCCTTAGCCGATTCTTGTCCATTGTTCCCACTCTCCCGTGTGTTGACGTGATACTCGTCGTCACCACCATACTGGCATTTCCTGCAGAAGCAAACAAAGTGTAATATGATCAGGCCTTGCGCTTACTGTAATATTTCTTTTGCACGGGCATGCATGAAAATAGTTGACATGTTACAGAAACGATTAAGATCAAACACCTCCACATGAATCCCAACTCTGATTGTTCGAGTTAACAATTTAGTTTCCTCAATGATTGACCATGGTTGGCCAATTTGCACAACACCACATGACAAATATATGAGTGTGCAGCTATGTTTGACTTCATGTGTGGCATGCCTCACCAGGTGAAGAGGGTCAGCCTCGCACACCTTAATGGCTCCATTGATCTTCTTCCTTAGGGCTTTTGCAGGGAAGTCCCACAGGAAAACTAATTGGGAAAACATAGTCAAAAAATGTGCGATTTCAACCATCCATCCATGTCAATGACGTTTGTTTCAAATTTGAAGGGGTGCATGTGTGGAACAGTTGGTTTGATTTGTTTTCATGCATTAAAGTGTCGCTGGCCACTTCAAGATCTTGACCATGTCATCCCTGGTATACCAGCCATTTGCGATGTCATTTGTCTGCTTCTCTGTCTTGGTCACCGTCTTCTGCCTGTACTTGACAAAGCGGTCCTGTGAGGACATGGAATGTGGAGCAGCACACATTCACGCTGGCAATGGCTGGGCAATCAAACTGAAAGGTGGACTGATCTATGGAGGTTGACACTTGGAACAAATGACAAACAAGGGTGGTGGGATGGTCTCCTTCGAAAAGTTGCATGACTCAAATTCGCGGGCCATTTTCATGTGATCACCGTTCTTCCATTGGTTATGCAGCCACTCCGGGACCTGGAGCTTACCCCCTTTCTTCACCTCGCAAAGCCGTCTCAATTTGGCTTTGAGAGCATTCTCTTCCTTGGTGGGTTGAACATGACCGGGGCCCCCAGATGGTTGACAACATTCTTGTACCAACACAAACATCAATCATGTGTTGGGGTGAAAACTTAAGGCAATTACAAACAATGATGGTAGTAGATCAATCAGTGTTTGATTTAAACATGTGCATATATATACCAAACTATCCCAAAATACGTCCCAAAAACATTTGAAATGAGTTTAGGTTCTTTTTTGACTTTTGTGGCCTGATCCAAAAGCTCTTCCACTGAAGGGCCATCAGCATCAGCATCGGACATATCTTCACCAGTCTTAGCTGCTTTGCTATCATCATGACTTGCGTTGCCATCTAATGGCCTCTTTTTGGAACAACCATGTCCCCCATCCTTGGCAAGTGCACCTCCTAGGAGCTGCATGGCAAGACCCGATTCGATCTCACCTTCCTGGAACATTTTGACGATGCGAGCTGTCACCTTGGCAGATGCTCGGGCGCAGGAGTGGCATGGGAAAGAGGGAGCCAGGGAACCCCAATCAATGAGAAACATATTGATTGATGATATATATTTGTTGATGACATTCAACCATGTTAGCAAAGCTCATTAGTAGGAACACTTCAGTATATACATAAAATGTTTGTTGTGTCGGTTGTATTGTCTTTGGAAACTGCGCAAAGCTTGAACTAAACAGTCAGGTGTTAGGAACAAGATGCTCTAGGTGATGATGTTTTTCCTACCACGTCACACCTGTGTGCATGTGTTTACTGCATGAAAAAATGTCAAGAAAGAAGGCACACATCTCTTTCAGCGTGCAGAAGCACTACGACACATTACGACACCAAACAATTATATAAACAATTTCAACAATAACTAAGCTTAATCAAAGGACATCATCTGAACCCTTCGAAACAGAAGTCAACTCAGAAGTCGAAGGGGACGTTGGCGATGACTCACCCTTTGACGCTGTGGGAGTTCCAAGCGATGCTGCCACCTGGGACTCTGTTGCTGGTAGGGTCTCCGTCATGTCAATGTCCAAGGGCAATCCATTCTGTGGAGTAGCCTCAGATATCCCAAAATTCAGGATGAAGATTCTCAAACAAGACCGGGTATGTCAACCGAACCCAGGCTCCAGTACATGGTAAATCATGGAAAAAAGACGTAATGGACCACAGTCTTTGCGATTTCAAAAGTTTCTCAGAAACTAACAACGGTCAAGAAATAGCAGAGCTCATGGTCACCATTGCAAACCTTTTGCAATCCAAAATTCTTTTGATTTTAGATTCTAGTGCTACTGTAAGTGGCATATATACACTAACCCTGCAATGGCCTTAAAGAGCCGGGAAACCTGACTTTGCAGCAATCGTTCCAAGGACTCAGCCTCAGGCGAACAGACACGTCACTTGTCGAAGAATTGGGGTGGCACTGGAAACAAAAGTAACCGGGGTTTGGTGAACTAAATTGCTTTATGTTCCTTAGTTGTGTGACTGGTTTCAGATCACAATGTGAGTATAGTTTGTTCCCAAGCACTGAGAAAATGGTTCAAACATACCGTTATCCCAAGTCACCCAAACAGGGCCCCGGCAGTACTGGACTGAGCATCCAGATCAGCCAGCTGTCGTTCAAGCTCCTGAAGGACAATGGGGTATAGGCCTAAGAACTGAGCAATAAGATTTCACCAGCTATCCACAAAAAATAGGCTTTATAGTTCGAACATGCTGAAAGCTACAAAACGTTGATTTAGATCCCTATGCTCCTTCAAGTCATCAAGATTATCAGGAAGCTTGGCATCAGCATCAAGCAAGATATGGGACAATCCACGGCCAAGATCCCCAGTTGACTGAGTACGGGATGCCATCGTGCGGCAGGTATCAGCACGGGAAATCATACCCAGGTGCTTTCAAAGGAAACTGTGAACCCAAAAAAGCTATCACAAATCCGGTTGGTTTGACTATCAATTGATGCAAGTCCTCATGACACTGCTCCTCAGCTGAGAAAAGTAATCTGCAAGTAAATCTCTTTTTTTTGGCTGCAACTCCCAAATAATATCAATTGTGCCGACGCAGCAGAGCTGTAATGGCGTCGAATTTCTAAAGCATTGGGTATGCACAGCATTCACCAAAGTTTGTTGCAAATGCCGGTCCCGACAGATCAATATTTCCGAAAACTCATTCGGGCGAAACAAAAACCAACAAAAATCAAGATAAATCTTATCTTTAAACCCATGAAAAATAGATATCTATTATGCAAAAATACCCATAATCAATTATGGGTAAATTATGGGATTTTATGGGTATTTTACGGGTCCGTTATGGGTATGGAAAATTACGGGTAAATTACGGGTTGAAATTATGGGTATTTTTTGTTTTGATTATGGGTTGATTATGTATTGGTTATGGGTCACCAGAAAATAGATAGGTTTTTTCCGCAAATTATGGGTATATTACGGCTAAAATTGTGTTTGGTTACGGGTTTGTTACGGACAATTACGATAGATTACGCATTACGGGGTATTATGGGTAAAAATCTCCAAAATTCTATCTTGAGCGTTGTTTTTTCGATTTCGTTCACACTGAATTTGATATTTATTGTTTCGGGACCGATCGGCAACAAAGGACTGCTGTCAAAAGGATCCCCAACCACCTAGAGTTTATGGGGTAGGTGATTTCGAAATTCTTCGGGTACCTGTAGATCTTTGCCAGCCCGAAGATAGTGGCATACCTGGGTCATGTGAGCCTCATGCCACAAATCATCCCAATTCATACTGCTAAAGGTTGAGCACGCAGGAGGAAACCATGTTGGGTTCGCTGGCATGCCCGATGAACTTCCAATCAACCGGTCGAACAACTCAACCATTTTGAGTCCGAACTTGCTCGGATAGTGCCTGAGGCCGGAATGGAAACTATGGCAAAATATTGCTGCATGGCTTCAAGTCTGCATTTGAACAGTCGAAAAGATTTGAAACATACGTTTGGGCCACTTTTGGGCAAATTTGTTTAGGCAAGTATCGGATTCATAGTGGGTAGGGTTATCCATAATGATCCCCACGCATTCACTATAAAATATATGTTTGGTGGCTGGGATTGGAAGGACACGGTGCATTTCTTCACAGAAATCGCATTCTGAAAAAAAATGAAACAACTGAGCCAACTACTCACTTGAACGCAGACTCTTCGTACCTTTCCATCTCTTCTTCCCATTGGAGTCTTGGTAATGCGTAACCAGTTGTTTGTGCTGGCCTTTTTTCTGGAGGCTGTCTTTCAATTCCTTCCATTTTTTGATACTGAAACTTCCAAGGTTCAGGTGGCCAATTTCACTGCTGTTCGACATTGCGTAGTGTCGCTTTGGTGTTTCGCCGCCATAGTGCAGCATGTGCCAAGAAACTTTGCTCACCTGAAGTGGCCATGGATGTGAAGTTCATATATACCAGTGAACCAAGTACACTATATGCAATAGTGATCAATAGTGTATAACAGAAAGCAAGAACATATAATGAAAGCAACTGGACATTAGTTTACACTGTTAGAAACCGAATATTTATATATCCCCAAGAGTTGGCAACCTTAACATATATAACATTGCAAATCAATAAGGTTACATTATTGAAAATATACGTATAACTTTGCTACCAGAGAAGGAACCTTTGAGTTGTATAAATTCATCAGCATGGTCCTTTGAAACCAAGAGAAAACCATTTGACAAGGTCATCTGCGTAAAACAATCGCCGTTGCTAACTTGCTAACTTAGGCTGCAGAATGCTTCAACCTCCGACTACTTGGGCAACTTGGATTTACATGGATTGATTAGTTGATGCTGCTGGTCAAGTGGCTTTCCCAGCTTGCCTCTCGATCAGCATGACCAGTTCCCTGAAACGTGGGTAAAATTCGAAGAAGCTACTGTAAGGCTGCTCCACCACCACGCATGCATTGAGACAAATTGCAACCATCATGAGAAGTATCATCCTCGGAAATGCAAAGTTCCAGACCCCCAGAACCCTCTTAGGCATGTGTGTTATAGAAGGATCTGGCACATGTACAACAACAAACAAACATGTTTTTTCTCCTGAATACAGGTAAAGTTCCGACTTGCAAGGCAATTGCCTTCACGAACACTTTGAAATTCAGTGTTTCCCACTGAAGAACATGCAGAGCGTGAAGACGTTCCAGCATTGACACTGGTCCATGACGAGCACTTGAGTGCAAAGTGGGCCAACCACCCCATCTCCTGATCTCCACGTAGCATCACCGCAAGAGCAGTCCTGAGCAAACGGCATGACAGGCAAGAGGCAAGATCACTCATGAAAAACAACAAGAAATGTTATATAGGCTACATTGTCATGCAATACAACACTTCAAACTTCTGATCCAGATGCTTATACTTGAAAGAGGAAGTGAAACAAACTAGCAGGTCAGGCTAGATTCGCAAACCCAGAGGGGGTGCATAAATCCATGGGATTTTGACCATCTTTCACAGGTGACATGTAGGGAAGGTCCATTCGAGCAGACCGCATGTCAGCACAACGGAACATTCGGGTCGTCTCCGCACGACCTGCAAAGGTCTCCACAAAGGCGAAGGTGGAGTGATCCTGCAAGTCAAGTAAATTTTTAGCAACTAAGCACTGGAGATTGAGGACAGTTGAGATGTCCACACTTGTTGAACTTGATTCAAATTCTAACAATGTTTTTTGCAGATGGAATCAACCCAAGATTCTCCTGCCAACTCTTCGAATCGATCTCGGTCCAAATAACCAAGAGTACAGCAAATACCAGCACCTCAGAGTAGTCAAGAAATCACAGTGCTCAAACTAACATCCAATCTCCGTACTATAAAGCCATGCGCATGCACCTGAATATTCACAGTCTCAGACATGGTCACGGCATTAGTTCGATAATATCAAGTCACGTGGTTTGTTCAGATTTCGGATTGAAACTTGGAAACATTTGCTGGCATGACACTTTTGGAGCACCAAAAGCATTGAGTCGATAGGTCAGCTTGTCCACAAAATCATGAGGCCACGGCATGGCTTGAAAAAGCCGACAGGTGATTTCGAAAAAAAGTCAAAGCCACAAGGCAACACATATCACATAACATTAATATATAGTGACAGTAAATTGAGAGCAGAATTTGACGAGTTTGAAGCTCAAGTAGACTGATTTGTCAAATTGAAAGTTCCTATATGCAGACTCTTTTCCAACAAGTTCATGAAGCCACATGATATCTCACTTGTCCATGCTGTGAACCTGAGGCATTGAACTACGTATCTCGAGCGGGCTTGGTTGAATTGAGACTGCATCATGACTGCATTGATCTTGGAATTCCAAGTCGAACCTGAACCAGTTGGACAGAATATTGACAATCAATCTTTCAATTTTGGTATGTCCGATTGGTATGTTCAAGAATCATGTTACCAGAAGATGTCGGACCCAACATGTTTTATGTACACAGATCTGCAAAGCCACTGCATGTCATGTGTGCTGTGTATGCATGCCATCATCAAGATACAATTATCAAGCTGGAATCCCACTTAATCACCAAAAAAATAGGCCGAGGCTAATGGGGCAACCAACCTGTTGAAACATGCCTGGCGTACGAGAGTCGTCTTTAACCAGGCCCAATTTCACAGCCCATTTGCACCCCTTCAGAGGCATCCACAGCAATCTGCGGCCAATGTCGAGCCTTGGCACGTGAGCTGGAACCCCGTCATGAAACAGGGAGGTGGCAGACAAACTAAAAACCAAGAGAGGAAGCTGAAACAATCCATTCTTGGGTGGCATTTCACAGTTGATAAAGATAAGGCTGAAGAGCAGGGAAAGGTTGCTAGACTCCAGAAACACCGAAACACTTGAGGTCAAAGTGCGGGTTCATCCAAGGCTTATACACAAGCATTTTTTGGTATTGGGCGTCGAAAAGGTATCTCAACCATTGCAGTGATGGGCACTTGTGCAGTATGATATTTTTTCCAACTCCGCCGTTGCAAAGGGTTTTGAGGTTTTCCCCAAAAGAACTGGGCATGCCACCTTCGGATTGACCCCACGCACCATGGATCTAGACCTAGAAATTTTCGTACAGGTCACATGGCTGATAAATGAAATGTTTGTTGAACCACCAGATATTGTTATAGGCATATACTCAAGTATAAAGATCTGAAGTGTAAACACATTAGAAACATCACATTGTAGGATCCTGATATTTTTTATTTGATGAATATTCATCGGAACTTAACAGTTGAAGCTAGATAGAAAACATATGCACGCAACATCCCACTCCAATGGTGCTGTTTCTTACAGATCGATATTTAAAAGCAGCCATGTGGTCCCTGTACTCCCACTGCTTCCGAAGCTAAGGCATTGCACCAGGGCAAAACGGTTTGGCATCATTCTACGCTGAGACTGATGCTGGGTTGCACTTTCTCACATCCCTGGATGTGATGCCATGAAGCTGCACCCCAAACGAGGCTAGATCTTTGGAACAAAAATAAGTCACATGTTGAAAGAACATTGTTTTTGAGAAAAATGTATTGTTGAAAATTTATGAAAAATTGTTTAGAGCAGAAATTGATGGAAATTGTTTGCCACAGCATGGCATGCAGACCCATCTTCATCAGCCTAGCATCACTTACTTTTTGGGAGCTGGGAATTTCGTAGCAGCTACACTGGCATTGTACTTGATAAATGCCTCATGCCTCTTGACATCACTGGTGGGGTCAGTATAGTTCGAAACGTCCTCCGTCTTCAAGTCATCCATCCACTGAGCCTGGGATGGAAGATGCAGGATGTATCTAATTGTGAACAGTTATGCACATATTATAGTATATGGATGGGGAAATAACACGACATAGCTCAAATTCTTATTCATAAAAAACTTTAGTCATGTCAACAAACATGCAGCTGGACCTTGCTGATCCCTGGGATTTGAAGACTAAGACCTGAAGAGGTTTGAAATGAGAATGCGCATCCTGTAATCACCAGCCAAGCAGCCATCAGCCAAGCTGAAAGATAGGTGAGGGTCATGTTGACGTTCCACGTCGAAGCGGTGCCAAAGCTGGCAAAATAGGACACAAGCGGCATGGATCTCTTGTTGTCCCCCCCCAGCTCCTTCGACTTCACACCACATGCCGTCCTTCCCCAATAAGGATCAAGGAGGAATTTGTTGCAATCCTTGGGCGCATGCGTCACGAGGTACTCCTTGAGAGAATCATAGGTCAAGCTGCCAATCGCTTTCAAATGCTGACAGAAAATGCCTTGAAGCTGGGCATCCTCCTTGAGCTGCTCATGCATCACATCATCCATCGCCTGTTTGCGCTTTTTGGCAAGCTTTTTTGCCATAGGGCTCATAGCCGCCTTCCTGCCTCGGCCTTTGCCTTTTGGCTTCACAGCAGGAGCTGGTGGTGGAGCTGCGGCAGAGGAAGCAGATGGCCCATCATTGGACGCCCTTGACCTTCTCCACTGTTCTGGTGCATCCTCCTCAAAGATGCTGCTCAAAGGCTTCACCTTCCCACTTTTCTTGTCAACTCGGTCATGTGCACTCGCCTCATCAGATGATTCTTCATCTGACTGGAAGAGCTCTTTTCGGGGCGTCTTGGCATCGATCTCATCCTTGCTTGACTCCTCAGCCTCAGCCTCAGCTGCCTTCGATGTTTTCTTGGGGCCGGACTTGGCCTTCGGTGCTCTCTTGGGGGCCGACTTGGCCTTTCTCTTCGGTGCCACTTTGGCCATGGGCTTCTTCTCCTCCTCAGCAGGATCAGCACGTTTTGCTCTGGGAGCACGCTTTGGTCTGCTAGTGGGCTTGGTCTCGGTCTCGGCCTCAATCTCGAAGTTCTCCTGGTTCTCCTCGGCATTCTCAACTTCTTCCTCTTTGCCCTCATCTTTGGGCTGAGTCCTTCGCCTTCCTTTCGCTTTGGGCTCAGCACGGCCTGCATCAGATGGCTCAGCAGGCGTTCGCTTTCTGCCACGAGCTTGTTTCTTTGGTTTCTCTGCTTCGTCACCTGGATCTTCCTTACTTTTCTTTTCCTCCTTCTTCGCATCCTGTGCTTTCTTCTTTTCATCAGCCTTTGCCTGCTTCATCTTCAATTGGTCTCGGCGGGTGAGAACAGGTACCTGACAAATAGAAGCACTCTGGATGGCCAATGGGCAGTTTGAATGTCAGCTCATGTGATGTGTGAGGACCACACTCTGTCCAACCGAAACTCAGCTATAGATTGTTTCTTCTTTGTTTACCAAGAGTGGCATGGATGCTTGTGCACAACCCCAAAAAAAAGTATCACCACACAGTCCGTTTCACATGCTGGAATCCACGACAAATATAAAATATGCAACACAAGGGATGGCCATGATCTGTGGCACAGAAAACCACATGGACATGCAGATTTGGAAGAAGAGTGCCCAAGCCTCCTCCGGCAAGCTATTAGCCGCAAGAGCTGCGGTATGTTGCTCCTCTTCTTCCGTCAATGGCATGGCCATGTCAAAGTTCATCTCCATTTCCTCCATAGGCTGGGTCTCATCCCAGTCAGACGCAACAGAGATTCCTGCGAAAGGCAGAGGTAGCAGCTCTGGTGCAACACATTGGCCATAGAATAGTTGACAAACATGTTGGCAAAAAATCATTCCTTCAAAAAAAGCGATGCCCATACTCAGCGCATTTGATTTCAACAAATAGCGGTTTGAATTATGCAGCATCATCCTGGTGGACTGCAGGTCCATCTGAAGTTGGAAAAGATATGAAATGACAAGTCATATGGTTCCGTGTTCTTACAGGGAACAATCATGGTACAACTGCATTGGTCAGTTCGAGGTCTTACCCCACTACAATGGCCTTTCTTCATTTTGCCTTTCGGCTTCGGGGATGACTTTGGAGACGGTTCGTTCGAATCCGGTGGGCCAGCAATAGGCGGATGGTTCCTCAACAGAACATGGGTTCGCGACAAATATAACAGGGATCAGAGGTCCAGCATTCACATATAGGGGTATAGAATTATTTTTTTTTCATATGGTCATTTGTTGTTACTAACCTGTTTTGATCCTTGTGGATATATGCTTCATGGAGTATCCCCACATAGTTGCCACTATATTCCTGAAACATGCCACTCCTATATCAAACATGTGTCACAACCACCCCGGCGCCAACCAAACTAAGAAGAGTGGCTGCTCAGCACGACGTTGGGCAGCAGCTGCCTTGGCCTCGAGTTCGGCCTTCTTCTTGGCGATCATCTCCATCAGTTGCTTCTTCTTTTCGACGAGATTCGCGCCTTGGCAAAAATGACGGCAAGTGCGGAAAGAAATTGTTTTTTTTGGGGGGGGGGAGGCATATACATATAGGGGGTTATACTAAGTGAAACCTTACAAACTTATTCGTTGGAATTCAACAAGTTAAAAAAAAATAACCATACTGAGCTTCAACGGCATGGTGACCAACCACATGACTGACACCTGGGTGGGTCTTTGGGAACCACTGACTCCGGGGCATTCTCATCCAACCATCTATGGAACTCCGCAAGTTCGGACTTGGATTGCTCATCATCGTCACATGGGTCTTCATCATCATCAAAGTCCATGCACTCACTTGACGTAGACCGTTTGCACGATGCCATGTACTGGTCAATGACTTCCTACCAGTGTTACTTAGCCATCATGTCCCCAACATAAAGTTTAAAAATCAAGACGTTGTGTTCCATTCATGTTTTATTTGGACCCACCAGTTTGCTACCCCCATTAAGAATCAACCCTTGGTGAAAACAAGATGAACAAGCCGGCAGATGATCCTGTCCTTCATGTCTGGGTCAAACTCCAAAATCAGCTCATGGAATTTTGGGTCCTGGCAGGGATGATATGAAGGAACAATAATAAACACGTGGCCATTGTATTCATAAATATATTCAGCTCCATTGTATTTGACGTGGCCTTGTATTCAGTATGATTCGATTTATCTTGAACTTGGCAATATGACATAACATTAATATATATGGATTGGGTGGCAAATTTGAATACATGTTTTAAACTTAAGGACACCTTATAACATTGTTTGCTCATCCCCAACCCCGTTCCTTCGTGACCTCTTTCCTGTTCGATCGGCGCTTCACGAACCCAGCTAACTGCTTTAGTTCCATCGTGCACTTGTAGATTCCTTTTTCTGCCATTGAGGTAATGCCACATTTTTCATGTATTGTTTCTACCTCTGCCTTGAATGCTTCCAGGTGTGGCAAGCGATGTTTTTTATCTTGCCCCAATCTCTTCAGAACGGGTTTCAAAACATCAGCATTGGAAATGCAATTCGGGCGGTTCGATTTGCAGAAACTTTCCTCAGGAGGATGGGTCAACAACCTTCGCTCACCACGTAGGCGATCTCGAATTTGGGCATTGCTCTCCCACACTTTAGCTAACCCCACGCAGTTCATGGCTTGGGCTAGCCAAAAAAAGCTCGAAGCCAAATGTTCTGATAATGTTTGGGTATAGATCATCAAATAACATAATAAGTACTGCTAACAGACCATGCAGTGGCAAGCTGCCTGAACCAAGGAAACTAACTTCAATGGCTACGCAGACAATGCATTGCCAGATCCAACCCAGCCGGAAAAAAATGGGGGCCCGGGCAGTGTGGTCCATGACCATGAAGACCATCAGGATCATCACATGGGCAGAAGGTGGCTAATGAAAGCCTTGAAATCTATTGGATGACCGTATGTAAGAGCATGTAAAAACACCCCGGATATTTCTAGCCGGGCAGAATTCCATCCTTTAAGATCTTCAAAGGAAGTTGTTTGAAACAAATGCAACATAAAAATGAGATGAACCAATTCTGGCTTTATGTGATGTTCCCAATAGCGTCGAATAACTTGAAATCTGATATGTGGATGCAATGTTTTCTCCAGCATCATTTCTGATTGAACGATCATTGCAGTTCAAGATCATTAAACATTGACATCTAAGATACCCTGAGCCACTTTTCCAGAGGTTCCGCTCCATCATGACAGGTCTTGGACATCATGAGTTCCTCCCATCATGGACTAGCAACCAACATGAATCATATTTAACAATCAGCTAATATGCTATATATGGGGTATTCAAAAAATAGTATACTATTTCTAAAAATAGTAAACTAAATTTGTGATGATCATAAAATAGTATACTATTACGTTTTCACCCCACATAATAGTAGGTAAAAAGCTACAAAGGTACTTATAACCCCATTTATAGAATGTATAATCCCATAGAAATAACCAGTTATAACTAATAGCCATGGCCATAACTGTAGAACCCCAGTTGCAACTCCACTAACTTATAGCATCACCCTTCCAGGATCATCCAGGCCCACCCAAGGTGCCAAACATACCTTTTTTTTTCAGTTTCAGACCATGCCATCTGAGTTAGAGTGACGACATGTGTCCAAGCGAAACAAATATCGCAGCAGAAAAAAACGCTCGAGAAGGCGACGGTGAACTTTCTTAGCAAGGCCCTTGACAGTGCCTACAGTATCTTCGTCGCAGTACCAATGGTTGAATCGACGGTCGCCATTGCGTAGTTCAGTTCAATGAATCATGTGGAAATGCCCATGTCTGTTGGGCTGAAATTGGCGTTCACAAGGCCGAGGCCGATCCTTGAAGTTGGCCATCAGCAATGTCCGAGCAAAGAAAGCCGGCTAGAGCAATCCTCCCGGAAAAGTTGGTGAATTCTCCGCATTTTTTCCACCTTTCAGCGCCTAAAGTCGGGTTTTGCTAAAGACAAAGGTTATGTTTTTGTTTTGTGGCGAAATCCAGCTCTGGAATGGCAAAATCCCATTCCGAGGGGTTAAGTCTTTGTGGAACATGTACACCGTGCATGTGTGCTAATTTCTCATGGCAACATCTTGGATGTACCTGGTGAACTTGCAAGGTTGACTTGCCATTTTTCGGCGTTTTCGGGTGTCAATAAGTCCATTTTGCCAGGATGGACCCCCCCACATTAAAAAAAACATGTTTATAAACTTGATATCTGTCTTAGACCCCTGTTCGCCTAGTTTTCCACCAACTTACATAGTATAAGAACATATCAGATCATATAAAAACATACACTGGTTGGTGGTTGACCTACCCCTCCGAAAAACATGAGTTCGTCAGTTGGGATGATGACATTCCCAAGATGTGGAAAGTCAAAAAAAAACCATGGTTCCAAACCACCAAGCAGCACAGATCACTGTACACCCCATTGGGTCCAAGATACGCACTACTTGACGTTGACGGTCCGACTCCAGATCCCCAAACCTCAGACGGTGACAGATCCTACATCCACAAGCTGGGGCCCATCGGCCTCTGGTCATTTAATATAGCAAAAAAAAGTGGCGACTTAGTGAGATGTAGTGGAATTTGATGGGATTTAGATAGCTAAGTGGGTGAACATAGCTCCAAAAACTATGGTTTCTGAATTATGACATCTTAGAACATATTAAAACTATAGACTATAGTATTGGTTATAAACCAACCAACATCGCTGGGGGTGGGGGGCCGCGGACCCACATTCCAGTTGGGATGCTGCAAAAGTCACGATCCGTGCTGGATATTTCTCCAAGAAAGCCGGATTACTGTACAACCGTAGCGATCAGCGTCGTCTACGGACGATTTCTTCATGGGGCTGCACTTTGAATCCCATGCGCCGGTGATGAATTTGGGCATGAAGCCTTTCATCCACAAACGTGTCCAAGCCCTGAAACATCCAATGTCATTCTTGATTTGGGAGCGCGCCCTGTGGGTAATCCTCCCCATAAAACAAGATGGGCCCTCCCGGGGTATATCTGTGCTGCTTACCCTTCTGTAGCATGTGCAAGACCATTTGCAGATCATGTTCCGAACGGGAAACCGTGGCTTTTCCACACCTTAGAGTTTAGGCTGAATCATCTAAATCCCAATTCCATCATATTTTATTGCGTAACCATCCCTAGTTTACGTTGGTCTTGGGGGTTTGCCCCCTGAGGACCAAACTTGAACTTGCTGTCCTGCTCTTGCCATTCCAAAGGTGGCAAATGCCTGAGAGGACATCTGTCGAGTTTTTGTGGATTGCTTTAAGGATTTTGCTGGGATTAACCAATGAATAATGATGTATATGATTGATCTGGTGATATTAGTCGGATATGATAGGGATATAAGATCAGCAATATCCGGATCAATGGACTGGTTAAAGGGATGGAAAACCATGTGTTTTATCCGCTAATTCAGGGGGTGATGCAGATTTCCCTTCAAGAATTTCCGGGATCTATAGACTGCTCAATTGGGATTCCAAGCGGCCGCATAAAGGTTGATGCGCTGACCACATACATGATGTGCTGCAGCTACCGAACTCACATTCCCCAAGGCTGTGACAGTTGCTGAACATCGACGCGTTCCACAAAGTTCAGACCTGGGCGATACAACGGGGCATCGGTCCCTGAAGGGACACTGAATCCCCATGGATAATGACCATCCCTACGTTCGATGGTGCCCCAGTTGCCGCCAATTGGCGATTCTTTGAACTCCAACCATCACGAACAAAACTGTTGAGTTTCTGGAGATGAAACAATTTGGTTGGATTGGGCAACATAAATCAACTTAGCTAAACAAATTGGGACAGCACCCCCCCACGTCATGGTCATGCTTCTGTATGTAGGCTGTATGTAGGAGGCTGGGATGGGTGGGGCTAGGTAGTGTGTCACTAGCATGTGAGGCAACAAGTAGGTAGTATGTTGCTAGCATCTTTCCCACCCCCTGTGGGATGGGTGGGATCTTATAGAGGTATCATGTAGATAGTATAGGTAGTACGTTGCTAGCACGTATGTATATCATATGAGATCGTCGCAGTAGCGAGTACATGGCTACTATGAAGGTACTGTATGGGCAGCAATATAGTTGTAAATAGATTGTATGGGCTGTATGGGCATATAGGCAGTGAACCCTGGAGCATTGAGATCTTGACCGATGGTCGTATATAGCCAGGCCACCAACATGGGGGCGGAAGGGGGGGTTGCCGGCCGCCGGCCGAGACCATATATATGTGCATAAACCATGGGGTGTAGCAGCTAGGTATAGCATACACACACATATATATATATATATATATATGTATATCAGAAAAGGAATTGACTATGATAAAACCCGCTCCAGAATAGTGCACTTATCTACTGCCGCCATAGCCATGAAAGAAGCGCATCATGAAGATCAAAGCAAAGTTTCATGAAGTTCTACGGGGTTGCTGGCCTGGACCATATTATGTATATATATATATGTATTATATATATATATATATAAATATAGTATACAGTATGCTAGTTTTGCCTGTGCTCGGGTAAATGGCTATGGATAGCCCGAAAGCCATCATTGCTTTTTGTGGAAGGCATGGACCACACATAAAGCCATCCTGGTTTTCCATACATGAAAAAAAAACACTGCAACAATCATAGTTTTGTCTAGCACGGATTGGGTGAGCCATCAACAGGTCATTATTATGGTTGATTAAATCAAGTTGATTATATATATATATACACCATCTGGTTATTTAACATAGCCATGGAAAATCACCATTTTTAATAGGTAAACCATCTATAAATAGGCCATTTCCCATGGCTATGTTAAATAACCAGAGGGTATATATTATTATGATGCCATGATGCGAGATTCTGCGAATACATTATCAGATTGCATAGCAGAGTTTCTGAGTGCGAATCCGATGTGACAATAACTACAGGATGCTTGGCCCTAGACACGCTTGCAATCGAGTTGTTTTTTGGCTGTACAATCCCAAGGTGGAACAATTTGGGTCACTGAGTCTCTTCCGCAATATTAAATGTATTCCCAAAAGCACTGATCCAATATTGTATCTATTGATGTTCATATCCTAAAGGGGACAGCAATCATATCATGTAGATTTTATCCATTTACATCTGGCAATGTTTTCTGGTTGCAGGCCATATGAATTGATGGGTTATACTATATCACTTATACAACATTATTGCAATCCTGTTGGTTATAACCACTGTATCATACATCAACTTTTAATTATTGATGGCTTATGAACCAACCAACAGTATACACCATTCTACACATCCAAAAATTGCGCCGTTCTTCATGGATTCATGGCGCTTGTTTTTCTGCTCCTAGGCTTGCGACCTTTGCCGGGACCACGGAACCATTGGTATCTCAGCGCCTGAACGGTATCGATGCTTGGAGCTGGGGGATGTCGAAGAGACCCTCTGGTAAACGTTTCGATGGAAAGTCACCATCTTGAACGTTTCGTTGGTGGTATACCTACCCCAAATATAAAAGTCAGTTGGGATGATGACATTCCCATATGTATTATGGAGAATTTTTTAATTCATGTTCGAAACCACCAACACCAGTGAAGTTCGGTAAATCAAGGATTTCTATGGGAAAGCGGCCCAAAAATTGCTGTAACTTCAATGACCAGAGGTCTAAATAGCTGGTCCAGTTGGAACAAACCCACGATGAGTTCACCATAGTTCATCACCTCATCGTTGCTAGGATATGGGGCCCCTGTTTTTTGGGTGAAACGTATCCACTTACAGTATATATAACCCATTGCCTGCACCCCGGAGAAAAAAAACCCTGAATTTAGTATGCGACCCGAAGAATGGGATCCCAAAGCAATTCGAGTATGGGATATGGCTCAACTGGCAGGCACTCCATGTTCAATTTAGGGGATGTCCCAGTCATTTTGAAAGGAACAACCCAGGATCATGAAAGTCAGTATACTTGCTGACTACGCAGCTGAATCTCAGTAAGAAAATTCTGATTGCAGGGCCTCAGGATGAAACAATGTTCCGAGTCTCATCACTGGTCCCAGTTCTACCCCTCACGGGATCTACCACAGAACATCAGGCCAGGATTGTCCAATACTGCAACTATGCACCATTTTCCAGATGGTTTGCCGGAACCTGCCTCTTAGTAATTAGATCCAATTAGCCATCCTTCACATTGTTTTTCAGTCTCAAATTCAAAAGTACCATCAAAACGCTCACAAATCTATCCAGATTGATTCCATACATAATCTCTGCAGAGTCTATACGAAATCTGTATCTTTCCATAATACAAAATCTGTGAACATTTCCATACATACTGTATATTTCTTGGCCAATCACTTCCATGGGAAGGTCCCACAGTTATGGCCCAAAATACCAGTTATAAGTACTTCTAACCCCATTTATAGAATTTATAATCCCATAGAAATAACCAGTTACAACTAATAGCCATGGCCATTTCACTGCACCCAGCCTTCCAAAGTTTGATCCTCACCGCGTTGTTGAAGGTCACGCCATTCCGGGCCTCGACCTCCAACAGAATCTGCTCCACCTTGGGGTCAGAGTTTTTCGACTCGGAAATTCTTCGGGGGAACAACTCACCATGGGTTTTCTTCATGGTAAAACAGGCCAAAACCATCCAAATCCCATTTTTTTTGATATTGTTTGAATTGAATCCTGGGTTTTTACTTGGGAGAATTCATACGGAACATCATCAATCACAGTTTCTGTTCATATGCTTTGACCACATAAGATTGAGGGTCCCTGTAAATTGCAAAAATTGCAACCCTTGAACCTTGTATCAGCATGTGGTCGGCACGGAGATTCAAGGATCAACAGCCAGAAATCTATAATCAGCTGCTGGAACATATAGGCTAAACAGGGTATCTACCAAGAAGAGGTTTACCCAGAAAGTGTACTCAAACATCTCTTGTCGCACGAGACGCACCTTCAAGTCACTGGCGTGAGTCATGGAATCAAACATGGAGTGTCCAGCCTGAAGCACTGCTCGAAGCAACATCAATTTTCATGGCTTACATAACATATGGTTACGACATGTGAGAAATGGATCCATTTTCAACTGGAGGTCGAGTTCTGATCCGTTTCTGAAATTTTAACCAGATGAGACATGGAAAAATCGTCTCAACCTGATGACTTTGAGATGTGTGGGGAGTTCCAGGTCAACGGATGGCTGGGATCCGTTACAGTAAACGCCAAGGGAACAGAACAGTATGAATAAAACCTACTGGTGCTTACTAGGGAATGGATGGGTTGCTGGGGGTTGCTGGGGGTTGCTGGGATGATTATTCATAGTTATTGTGGATCATTCCCGAAAATTCCCTGCGTTTAGCACCAGTAAGAAAATTGAATATTGAAATGACACGATCAACCAAAGTAGCCAAGGGGTGAGGTGCAAGCCACGTCCATGCTCCAAATTTCCTTCTGAGAAATCTCCTGGGAGCAACAAACAGTCACAAACGCAAAGGGACCCGCTCTACACCCATCCAAGTGTAGATATATCTCACTTGTATATATATATATATATGGGGGTTCCTGAAATAGGGGTATCCCCAAATCATCCATTTTAATGAGATTTTCCACTGTAAACCATCCAGCTATTGGGGTACCACCATTTATGGAAACCTTCATATATACATGTGCCATAAACTCTTGTTTCTTTTGGCCTTATAAACCAACTTCCCCGGGACAGCCCTTCAATGCCGGCGCTGCCCGGTGCCTGGTCAAAGTATTTGTAGAATTCATCCAGTCCCGATGCTGCCAGCAGCACCTGCATGTGGTCCAACTGTCCGGTTTTCTGTTGGAACATCCAATAGAATCCGCCACTGGCATGGCGCTTGCTTTTTCTTGTGAAATGATCGACGGAACCATGGTCTTACAAGCCAAGTATGGGGGCTTACTGTAAAAACAAAATTGCCCTAAACGCCCTATAATCAACCGGCGCCCCCAAGCTAGAAGTTGTTTGTCAAATCTAACTAAAGTTATTGACCACCATAGAGCTAGGCAACCTACCATTTCAAACCATAAAATAAACCAACTGACAAAAGTACAGAACGGCCCCTCATGGGGGAGTGATTTTTGCTCTAGAAATGGTCAAAAATACTGGTATTTACAGTGTTTTGTGACCAAAGTGGGCTTAAAACCGTTATTTTAGAGCAAAAAATAGAGTTCACCTCCAAAGGCTCTCATATGCTGTCATAAATCACTGGCATTTACAGACTCTTGTGGCAGGATTCAATTTTTTCTGTGAGGCTTGCAAAGAACTACAAACAATCAGCACATAACAGAAAACATCTGCTGCACAACATGCCATAAGAATGAAACATCTGCTGCACAACATGCCATAAGAATGGGTAGCTGCACATCTTGGAACAGAATATACAGTAGCAATAGGTGACTAGTGTGATGGAGGTGATGGAGAAATTCTATTGCTAAAAGCAATTGATATGATATAGGTGTTTCTTCATGAACTTGTTAGATTGATATCATCTTAACATATATTGTATATAGAAGCATTTGCGCTACATAAGAAGTATGGTGGGAAGGGCATACATTATATAGGTGGATATAACATAACAGAAAACATCTGCTGCACAACATGCCATAAGAATGAAACATTGCTGCACAACATGCCATAAGAATGGGTAGCTGCACATCTTGGAACAGAATATACAGTAGCAATAGGTGACTAGTGTGATGGAGGTGATGGAGAAATTCTATTGCTAAAGCAATTGATATGATATAGGTGTTTCTTCATGAACTTGTTAGATTGATATCATCTTAACATATATTGTATATAGAAGCATTTGCGCTACATAAGAAGTATGGTGGGAAGGGCATACATTATATAGGTGGATATAACATAACAGAAAACATCTAACACTCTGGATAAGAAGGATGGTGGGAATGTTACAACTCAAGAAGTAGGTACATATCTCGTTTATCATTGTTATCTTGCAGAGTCTTGTCAGCAGTCTCATTTCAATAGTTAGACAGAGAGAGAGAGAGAAAGCCTAAGAGACAAAGAAATTTGTCAAGCTGTTGAATATTAAGGTCAGGCAACCTGTGTGGTGGCATAGCTATTCAAAGATAACGGTATGTTTGCTTCTTTGAAACATAAGTTTAAAATATGGCCAAGATCCAAACATACACAATCTAGAATCACCAACACCTGCACAGGCATCAAAACAAAAAACAAACCAACCAAACCACCAACAAAAAAAAAAAAAAAACAAACCACTAGATGCACCACACAGCACCAAAAAAACCAAAAAAACTAAAAATTCCAGGAACTATGGGTCCACTTCTGAGTAGTTGCTGGAATTTTTGTTTTTTTTGGTGCCTGTCGATGTTTGGTGCATCTAGTGGTTTGTTTTTTTTGTTTTTTTTGGTGCCTGTCAATGTTTTGTGAAGTCAGAGTCACCAAACCTGCACAGGCACCAAAAAAACAAAAAAAACCAAACCACTAGATGCACCAAACCTGCACAGGCACCAAAAAAACCAAAAACACTAAAAATTCCAGGAACTATGGGTCCACTTCTGAGTAGTTGCTGGAATTTTTGTTTTTTTTGTTTTTTGTTGGTGCCTGTCGATGTTTGGTGCATCTAGTGGTTTGTTTTTTTTGGTGCCTGTCAATGTTTTGTGAAGTCAGAGTCACCAAACCTGCACAGGCACCAAAAAAACCAAAAAAACCAAACCACTAGATGCACCAAACCTGCACAGGCACCAAAAAAACCAAAAAAAACAAACCACTAGATGCACCAAACCTGCACAGGCACCAAAAAAACTAAAAATTCCAGGAACTATGGGTCCACTTCTGAGTACTTGCTGGAATTTTTGTTTTTTTTGGTGCCTGTCGATGTTTGGTGCATCTAGTGGTTTGTTTTTTTTGTTTTTTTGGTGCCTGTCAATGTTTTTGTATATCTCATGTCAAGATCATGATGAAAAAAATGTATTTTACTAGGGTTTTAGACCCTCCAAATGCATAAAACATCGGTATTTACAGTGTTTTATCATCATTTTTAATGAAAATTCACTCCCCCACGGGGTGCCGCCCTCCAAAAGTATGGGGCACCATCTTCTATGCGAAATCTCAAGGGTACTGCAACCATCGCCAACAAAAACTCGCCGGAAAATTCAGGGTGCAGAAACTCCAATGAAGATCTGCAGTGATTTCACCGGAAATAAAATCGGAACATATATCTGGCTGAAATTTCATATTGCAACCAACAACTGAAAGGGTGGTCATTTTGAGGATGACTCCCCTTATACTAACCATTTCAGTGATGTCTCAGTGATCTCATGTCCCAATAATTCAGCCAATGAGAAACGTGGCTAGAGATCTTAAAGTCCAGTTCATGGCTAGGATTTCATACAGGCTTCACTCTCCAAAACAATATCAGCAACATTAGTAGTTGAAGGAAAGATGTGTTTGTCCGAATGATCTTCGGTATAAGATGGATGTACTCAGTGTGAAGTCCAGCTACACCCTCACGTTGTTGCGTGAAGATGTATAGTAATCTCGCTTCGGATGCTGCAATATGCATTAATTAAACAAAAAAACATCGCATGATCTGGGAAAGCGTTACAAATTAGGTCTTAAGGTTTGACCCACATCCATTTCTTGGCATTGTATGCATCCATCAAATGTCCACCAATCATGTACCCAATATATGCCCATAATCATCCACCATCATTACAGATTCTGTATATTGTTCATTCCAAGGTATAACTATATTTAGGAACAAACAAACCGAAGTGGGGGGGATCACCACATTCTCAAACACCCATTTCTAACCTGCGTGGACATCAAGTCCTTGTTCTTCTTATCCTTCGGCATCGCGTCAAAGTCTTGGGATCTTTGCCTGACCGGACATGGTCCTGATACGTAGTCAGTGACCATCTCGCTGATTCTTAAAATGAAGGTTGAAGGACCCAATATCATCAAACATCATCAAAAATCGTATGTTGATGCTTTTTGGAGGTTTCCTAAAATGGGGGTACCTTCTAATCATCCATTTTTATGGCATTTTGCAGTATAAACCATCCAGCATCATCCAGCTATTGGGGTACACCGATTTATGGCCACCAAAACCTCCAGCTACGGGCATTAACAAAAACTGGTCACAAAAGCGAACATGTTTAACCACTAATGCACATGTATACTGTATATTGTATATTGTATATATATACATATAAACTATATCAGTGATTACATCATTATGGATGTATATATATATATATATATTCTTGTATATACAAGAAAAAATATATATATATATACACCTCCATAATGATGTAATCACTGATATAGTTTATATGTATACATATATATATATATACACAGATACATTCATAATTATATACATATATACATTATTATATAGAGTATCTATGTATCTATGTACCTATGTACCTATGTATCTATGTATCTATATATTGTTGTATCTATGTGGTTAGATAGATGGATGGATAGATAGATAGATATATAGACATATAAACAGACAGATGGATAAGATGGATAAGATAAACAAAGATACGATAGATAAGAAAGATAAGACAGATAAAATAAATAGGATAGATAGGATAGATAGGATAGATAGGATAGATAGGATAGATAAGATAGATAAGATAGACGGGACAGATACGAAAGATAAGGTAGACAAGATAGATAAGATAGATAAGACAGATAAGATAGAAAAAAAGAAAAGATAGATAAGACAGAGAAACGGTAGATAAGATAGATACGATATACAAGTAAAAAGAAAAACAATAATATAAATATTGCATATATATATATCGATAAATAGAAAGATCGATCGATAGATAGATGGATTGATTGATGGATAGATAAACTATTTGATTGATTATTATAATTATATATTTATTATTAAAAAACAAAACCATATAATATAATATATATAATATATATATATATTTACATACAACCCAACATAATACATAATATGTAATGTGAAATAAATAAACAATATATGATAAATATTAAGAATATACATATATATATATATACATATATTTATATTAGTATTTATATATACTATACATATTTTGTCATATTTAAAAACTACGTTCTGTCTCAAGATGTTCTGCTCCGATGGCCAAAATAATGCAACTATTGCTTGTTGTTTACCTTTTCATGATGTTTTTGCTGAATATTCCCTTTCCCACACAGTGACGGTGGGTGTAGGATTGAATAAAATTGGGTACCCTTAAATCCATTGCTTAATCATCATGCTTCCCATTAAAGTTGCTGCTGAGGGGGGGGTATACTCCATTGATTGACTTAAATGGATACCAGTGAAACCTACTTGATATGATTTTTACACGTGTCTGAACATGGTTTCTAAAAGCCTCAAAATACCCTATTGGATAGGTTTAGTGGTTATGGCAACCAAATATACCACGCATGAATGACATTGATGGCGCCTCAACTGTGATGGATATCTTCAGGCGCCATGCATTCGACGGCCATAGTGACGTCACAACAGCTTCGGTTGAGATTGTGCTAGCGATTTGGAATTTGGGTTTCTCCGGAAATAAAGGCTACACCATCTTTAAATCTCAAGTTTGCTACACCTCTTGTCGTGGGTTCTTATCATTTTCCACCTTTTTCCGTCAAAAAAAATGGGGGTACATCCCCCATTCGACACATCTTGGTGGAACACTGACCTGGATGTGAAGATCCAGGGTGAAAAAACTTGGGATGGAAAGGTGTAAATTACTACAATGTGAGGCCCCCAAGATAGCTAAGTTGGTGCCAATAACTCCAATAACTATGGTTTATGGTACTTATAACTATAGATACTGGGGCTTATAAACCAACTTATAACTGGGGGGCCTCACATTGTATGTTTCAGTTGAAAAACAAAGCTAGTAATACTAGCAATGATACGACACCACCACCTAGTAACTGCAGCTTTCCCAGGTTTTCCTATGTATAACCCAACTTCACCATTTCTGACCCTATATACTTCTGCGCAGAGATGACATGCGATGACCAGCAACGGCAGCCCAAAGTTTCCCAGAAGCTGTTCGGAAGCCTAGATCTAGGGCCTGGGTTGTATATGTATGGAGGGCTCCTAAAATGGGCTCCTAAAATGGAGGTACCCCAAATCCCAAATCCTCCAAATTAGACCATTTTTAGTATTGAGACCGTTTTGGTGATCCCATATTTTCGTCATATTTCAAATTGTCTCTATATATATATGTATATATATATATATGTATATATATAAATAAATATATATATAAATATATATATATGTAAACTCTCACATGAAGGATAGTAACCCATTCCTGCTTGCATTCAAAGGCGAACATTCCAACTGTCCAACTGTCATCTCCGCTATGTCCTCTGAGGTTGAAAGATGCAGCGTGGCGTCTCCGTTTACGAAATCACATACGTTGGTGAACATAACTCCAACAACTATTGCGCATGATACTAATAACATCTTGTAACAAACTAGTCTTCATGCGGTTTAAACCAACAATCATCACCATTGCGGTGACTATCAAAATCATTGGCAAAAGGCACATGAAAATTGAAAAACATGGGACACCAAAACATATATCGTCCATCCTCAGAGAAACTTTTCTCGGCTTTTCTCTCCTCACTTTTTTCGTTTCAGGTGTTTTCTCTACTCTTGACTATCCCCATTCTTTTGGAAGGGGCATTTTTTTTAATATAGAGACGGAGGCCATGGTTCCCATCAGGACTCCCAGGTTCCCCGCGTGTTGATGCGATTCAAAGGCGATCGATTCTTCAGATGATTCTGTAACCTGGGCGTTGGAAACACGGCGAGGGAACTGGGGGATTTGACTCAGAAGTTGATGGATTTGAGGAGCTGCAGTAAGGGTCCCAAGAAGAACAAATGCTGGTTGAACGGAATTTCATGGATTTTCTGACTTTCGAAAAAAAAGTGCTCGAGTTCTGCTACGAAGAGAATTTTAAGATCTGTTAAGAACACAGGAAGGTGTTTATGCACTCTTGATGGTGGACGTGAATTTCCCAAGTCACTTCTGAGTCACAAATTGATTGATGTTCATCCGTCTGTCTAGACAGAGGCTTCATGCGCCCAAAAAAAGATGTCCAATTTCGAAGGCATCTTAAGTGGTCCAAAAGAAAAAACGAAAAGGTCTATATATATATATGTATATGTATATTATTTATTTATTAAGTATTATGTGTTTAAATATATATATATATATTATTGAATATTATTAAATATAATATATTATTAAATATCAGTTATTATTAAATAACATATTGCTAAATATTATCTATTATTAAATATTATTAAATATCATATATTATTAAATATCATATATTATTAAATATCATATTGTTAAATTATATATGAAATATATTATAATGATTTATAGTGTATATGAAAATATACTAAAAAATATATATTATTACATGTTTGTATATTATAAATATTTAAAAATAAATATAAATACACATATATATATATTATATTATATTATATTATATTATATTCCTTCCAATTACTATACTTTTGATGATTAGCTCGTGTCATCACAAGAGTTGCCGCATCCGTGCCATCACCTTTTCGCAGCATCTCCGATGATCCACACAGGAACCAATGCTGCGAACGCGATCAAAATCAAACTCCCCCGCCCCAACAAAATGGAATCGTCATGGATAGAGTTCATCTATACTTGTACAGTTAGATCATATGAATATTATGCAGCAACAAGTTGGAGCAACAAGTATGAGTGGGTAGAACTTCATGGAACCTGGATGGTTTGTGTCAAGTCCAGTTGACTCCGTCTCTCGCCATCCCCATATGCCATATGACTGATGCTTATAGCTATTTATAGCTGCAAGGCTGATCTACCATGGGATGCCCACGTTCTCGAACGACCCATCTGGATGTAGTTTTGATTCCCAACCATTGTCGTTTTGATTCCCGACATTTTTTTTGAGAGCCGTTCTTTTTATCTGGTTGGTGGTTGAGCCATCCCTCTGAAAAATATGAAAGTCAGTTGGGATGAGTATTCCCAATGTATGGGAAATAGAACATGTTCCAAACCACCAACCAGTTACAGTATGTTGTTTCTCCGTATCAATCATGGCTAAATGGTGTGCCTTGGCTTGCCATTTTGGGCCATAAAATATCATCCGTTTCAACACAGGCTGGTCAACTTTGATATTCCATGACTTGTTTCAATACCATAGTTAAAAAGTTAAAACATCTATAGGATGTGAACCAATGATAATTTCTCTGGTGTTGCAGCAAGGGCTCCCCTGGTACAAGTTGGTTTATAGCCCCATCTCATCTAAGCCCCATCTCATCTAACTATATGCACAGTATGTATCATATTGTATTATTAATATCTATATATATATATATAAATAAATATATAAAAATAAATAGCTGCATGATGATGGCCATAAACCATAGGTGTACAGTTATCAGCGAACTTAACAGCTCTGAACTGGGGAACCACCGAGTGTATCCTCCACGGAAGGATTTTGACCCCGGAAACCGCTGGCCATAAAGGCCGGCCGTTGCGCTTCGCGGTGCTGGGGAGAAATGGCGGTGATGAGAGCGTCGGCTGCGACAAATGGAATGGAAGCTTGCAAGATCGCCAATGTACACCCCGAGAAATGGTCAATTGTTTGATGTTTTTTTTGCGAATCACCATATTAGTATATATCAGTTATATATTGTTCCCTTTCTTCACACGTCAATACATATGGGTAAGGTTACCCCCAGTTATTTGACATAGAAGCCCACGATGGTTTATGCGAGTTGGGAGGAAAATCATCTTCCACACCCAATGTCTGGGGTTCCATATTTTCTTTGGAATGTATATACTTTGATCGATCATGGAGTTAGCTGGCTAAAAACTTGGTTCTATCCCCTTGTACAGTGAGTGTTTGTACCTACTAGCACATTTAAGTTACTCCATGGTTCATCTAAGCAAGAGGCCATGCACCAAGCATATTTTCGTGTGAATCTAATCCTAGACCTTCAGCAGTCACAACAACACCAGAAGGATAGCTGGAGCTGAATATATAGTTGTATGATGTTGTATGATGTAGATACACCGATTATACTGGGCAAACAAAGTCAATTTCATGTCTGCTTTGGTGTTGTATTCCCGCATATACAGTAAACCCAAAAAAAAAAACATTCACTCTGTCAACCAACGGTTACCAGCAAATTTGGGCGTTACTAAAATAAACACAAATGAACTTGTCCAACCGGCACTCCGAAAAATCTGCTTCGGGAGGTTGGCGCGGATGGGGTGCTTTGTCAGGTGCTTGTATATACCACACGCACAAGCACAAACCGGAAGCAAATCGATGAACAGTGAGCAAAAACGATGATTTTGGAATGGGATATTCAATCCCATTCAGTTCGAGTATGATTCAGGATTCAATCACATCCTCACCATGGTCATTACCGCAACATACCATACATCCTGAGGAGATGAACGTACCTTGGCAGGTACCTTAGCAGGTACCACGGTACCAAAACATCCCCCAACCTCCCAAAAACCAGTGGATTTCCATCAGAACTATGATACTTTCGATGATACCTACGTAGCTTTCCACCACAAAAAACCTTTCAGCTTTGTACCTAACAATGTGGGGCACTATGTCACTGTGATTTATTGTACAACTGTAGTCTTCATGGGATTTTTACAAAAACATTCACGGCTCACGTCTGTGTTCCCCACATTGAAGGACTTGAGATGAGCAGTGTTCACAATCCCCCTATTCCATTCTACTGGTTGGTTAAGAACGGGATTTCCCGTTCTTGGATTATTGTAATCCCCGATATATGAAGGGTAGTGAAGGGTAGTATAATCCCCGAACCAATCATCAACCAACCATCATTTATCAGTTATCAGAAATATTCTCCACTTATGTGCCCTATAAATTCCCACAATTTATCATATAACAGGTGGTATAACTAAGAAAGATGAGTAGATCGCAGCCACAGCTCAGATGAACAGATTTTCTCATCACCGCTGTTTCCTCCTCTATAGATGGGCCATCACAGATCGGCCCGGCTCGTGAGACATCGATCAGCGACAGGGTGCCGAAAAATGGCGAGGTTGGATGTGGGTGGCCCCTGAGGTACCCCTGAACAGTTGTAACCGGCTTATCATGATTCATCAGCTGAATTACGCAGGAGTTACAATCTCATTTCTAACTGTTAAGGGCCACAAGTGTATGGACACAACTTCATTTTCTGCCTAATAAGGAGACTTGAATTGTCCGGGAGATGGGTACTTGTGCCTTGAAACCCTATAAACATATCTAGAGGGAGCACCCACGACTGCTGCCATCATAATATTGCCTGGTTTCTTTACAATACCATCTGACAATCAATCATTGCCGGTATTCATGGCACTGTCCAAAACTAAGATAGTCCGAATTCCACGAGTTCTACAGAGTACTCATAGTTGTCCTTTTTACCTAAATACATGAAATACATCAGAACTTGAAGTCAATCCTTCATCTTCATCTTCAGACAAACCCATATCAACCATTGTGTTAAGATACATGAAAACAATCAGAACTTGAAGTCAACCCTCCATTATCGGACAAACCCAAAATGTTTGCTCATCAAATCCCCCATGTTTGGACTCATGACACCCTCAGATCTTCCGCGCGAGGACTGCTTTGATCCGATTGTGGCGCTGGTGCCAATCCGTCCTGCGAAGATAACAAGACGCCATGGACATCGCCAAATTTTCCAATGATTTTCATGTATAGACACAAGGGGGATAATAAATATGGAGATGGAGTGGTGTGCTATATGTTTTTTTGTCAGACATATCACCACTAGCATGATATTTTGGTTTGGTACCTGTTAAGGTTACTAGGCTCCCCAAACGAAACCGCGACAACGTTGGTGAACATAACTCCAATAGCTATGATTTATGATGCTTATATAGACAAGTATAGAGTAAGTATAGTATAGTATACTATAGTATTTTCAAATATGAGTAGTAATTATTAGTAACTTATTACGTAATATTACGTATTCATAGGCTTCATAAACCAAGAATCACATCACGTTGGCCCCCACAATTCCATTCATGTGTTTCCCTTCCACCAAACTGATTCACCGTTTCCTGCTGTAGTGATGTGACAACAACTTGCCGTGGAGCTCCATGGTGCTGCTACTGGATTTCAGATATCCACAGAGATCTGCCTGGGATGACCGTGGCATTGATGCCATCACAATATGGTCAGTCGATTGAAGCGCTTTACTCATGTTCAAAAAAAACATCAAAAAAAAGAAACAACAAGGATCCAACATGGGCCATGGGGATTGACCGAGCAATTGGGATACAAGCAGGTTATCAACGGTTATCATGTTTTGTCGGCGGAAAGGTACCACGCAGAAACCCTTGTCATGGGGTCACCTCATGGATTTTTTATTCTCTCTCTGCACATGAAAATACACATGACACACAGATTTCCAACCCACCCTCCGGTAATCAAACATAGCAATTACTGTAGATGTTCCCTATACTTTTGAGAGGGTTTAAAGGGAAAAGCATCTACTGTATAAAATTGTGTGTTTTTCCATTGCGACGCTTGATTAGTGGAGGGTCAAAGGTCATGTTTTTATGGAAAACTCAATTCGTAGCTCCCATGGGCTCGCCGTTGGCAGTAGTACCCCTATCGCTCCGGCACCTTCGTCGTAGAAAGTTAGGGTATGATTTGGGGGAAAAACGTTGCCGTACCGGAGCTGTTTGGATCGAGAAAAAAACGTCGCAGCCGAGACCAGCCGAGCAGCCACCGTCTTCTCTCCACAGTAGTCCGTCGCTTTGGGTTGGCTCATGCTTCCCGCCTGCACGACGGGGGAGGGGAAACAGAAAGAACAGAAACATCGCTTCAACGTCTTCTGTAGGCGTGGGCGTACATTTACATATATAGATGGTTTAGAATGGAACATCCTATTAAAATTGATGATTTGGAGTACCACCATTTTAGGAAATCTCCATATAATTTTGTTCATCAGTCGTTTAAGATGAGAATTTTCCGATCCCGATTGGTGATGCCCATCCTAACCCCGAGAAATGCCACGAAATGACTGATTTTGGGGATGAAACATGACATGCCCAAAAATGATATCAACATATATATGATAAATAAATAAACATATATATACCACGTTCAAAGGGGTGCCTAATGAATTTCAAGAATTGAGATTCTTAAGGGGTGCCTAATGGACACCCCTTAGCGTTCATGGAGATGGCACACCAGAAAATGATGAGTTCCAACCCAAAATTTTCCAATCCCACCCGCGTGGCATCTGTGGTGCACCCGACTTCATTTTTGGCGAGAAGAAATGCATGCGTTTCTTTTCGCATCGGATGTAAAATGTTCCCAAATTTCAAGAAAACTAGTCAAAATTAACACGAAATAACACGCGCAGGGGTTGTTCAAAAAGCACCCGACACGTTTCTAAGGGGTGCTTATTAGACACCCATTTGCCTAAGGGGTGCTTATTGGACACCCCCTACCGACCGACACGACACGGCAGTGACATGCAATGACACGCATGTTTTTCTTGATTTCTCAAAAAAAACTCGTGACCACTTATGACCGACACGACACGGCAACGACACGAAATGACACGCATTTCTGAAAGCAAACGTGGTAAAATCGAAGAAAAATGCACATATTACTATGAATACCTCATTATCTGTTAGTTTGGAACCTTAAAAATTAAGGGGTGCCTAATGGTTACCCCCTTAAGAGGTGCCTAATTGAGACCCGTTTGTACATCCTATATATATATATATATGATATATGATAGTTTTTATAATTATATATATAATATATACATAACATATATGATATATATATATATATGATATAATATAAATAATATGGAACTCTCTGAAATCTACCAACTGGAAACAACCGTCAACCTTCCGGTGACCCCATGACGATGCCTCGGCATCGCTACTGATCCTGGGATCTGGCTTGGAATGGAAGCAACACATCTTTGAAATCGCACCGTAACAATCAAAACTACAACAAAAAACAACACATAATGGAACAACAGTAAAATAAAGAACATAACTTGTTTGCTGAAATGGTCAACTGGGCTTCAAAAAACTAGAACAACATATAAATATATATAAATAACGTAGACAAACAACGTTGAAGCCCAGTTGACCATTTCAGTGTGGAACCACTGCTGTTTCAACAGCACTGCGAATCATCGCAGCGCCTCCCTTTCTGTTTCCGGTCCTTTGGAACGTCTCCTGGGCCAAATAGAAGCCCAGGTCGGTTTTGTTGAAAGCCTGGGCGGTGAAACGCTGGGTCCAACATGGTGCGTGCTGGTGCCAGCCTGGTGAAGAAATGATACAAGATGTGCAAACTGGTGCCACAGTGAGCTAAATCACGACTTCTTGGTTTATTTGACTAGCTAGGGTTGATGATGATTACAAACTCTTAAAAATATAGTTCGATAGGGGCCACAAACCAGCTATAACCAACTATAGGCGACCAAGGACGGTTTAGCAGTTTACCCAAGATATCACTGGCATGGTGAATCTTCCCTCTGCCCAGCAACAAGTCGATTGCTGCTGCGCCGGCGCTCCGTCCTGTGACAGGGATCGACTCAAATGAAGGTCATTGATATGGGTTTAGATTGATGAGCTCGTAGAATATAGTATTAACATAATATATGTTGTTAGATGTTGATAATTAATAACTATTCTGAACTAATATGGATTTAGCCAACACATCATAAAAACGCACAATGTTCCGTTTGATTGGTGTAGCCACAGCCAAGTTGATAATTTAAGTTGTGGAATCCACTGGTCTATTTCGATGAACGCATGAAGATCATGAAAGTGGTGTTTGTTTTTTCCATAGCGATGTCAAAAATTACAAGAGTGTACCCAGTTGCCCAAAGAAGGGCTCCATCTGGGCAATTTGCGTCTGGAAAATGCTCCATGACCTCTAAGACAGTTTCTTTGGTAATGGGAAAAACGATGTTAAACCATAAACATAGGTTATTTCCCATTTACCATAATGGTAAACATGGGGGTACAGGAAATTTTCAGGAAAACACATTTGGATCGATTCCTGGGACCATTCTAACACCAGGATGCCATACACCACCAGCATATTGTGCTATGCACGAGGGTCTTTCCAGACGATCCATGGGACATTCCCTCAGTGAAGTAAGGTGTTCTTCCCCTTTTTTCATGAACATCTTCAATGAATGAATGTAAAGGTTCCTGGATGTGGGAATGCTATTCCCTTCCATGAAAGTGTCAAGTGAACCACGAAAAGGATAGCTTCATGTTAGTTCGTTCCAAGAGATTAGGTAAAAGTCCCAACAAATTCACCAATCAACTAGGCATCAAGTGCCATGTTTGAATGGCTCAAGTCTGCTGCGCCCGTGCCTGGAGCATACAGAGCTCCGCTCCAACAGCGACGGCGTGTCCTGAAAAGCACGGCTCGCCAGAGGCTCGCCAGAGCTGCGGCGGAGGAAGGGCGTGAGTTTCCAAAAGGCGAAAAAGCCCCGTGCTTCACCATTTATAACTGGCTTAGAAAAGCCCATTTCAGTGATGTGATATCATCAATTTCACCTTAGGAGTGAGTTCATCCGATCTACTGTGAAGATCCGCTGCAGTAAACCATGGGTGAATGGACATCTTTTAATGGTATATGTCATGGGAAAATCATGCGAAAATCATTTAAAAGTAGCTGGAAGTGGGAAGTGAAAGATGATTACTCCCCTGGTAATCTAACATGGTTAGCTGGGAAATCCCCTCTGCACAGGCGCTTCAATGGGGAAATGAACTATAAATACTGGAATTCTCCATTGCCATGTTTGAGTCCCAAAGGGTAACGCGATAATTGGATGTAATGTGATACTGATATGGGGATAATAATGAGGGGATAGTGAAATTGAAACAACGATATGCGGATTTCATAGATTATAATGGGGTGCAATTCATGATAGACAGTTAATGAGATATAGATGGGTATATAATTCGGTATATACTATATCAAACTTATTTTGTCAATCAATAATGAAACAAATCAATTGAATGTATTGTGGTATATGCTGATGCAGAGAGAAGGTGTATGACACTGGTGGGATTGAAGCCAGCAAAAAAAAACAACCATAACATGTACCATCTGGTTATGACTAACATAGCCATGGAAGCCATGGCCCATAGAAATAGATTATTTTCCCAGCTAGAAACCTCCATTTATAAGGGATTTTCCATGGCTATGTTAGTCATAACCAGAGGCTATTTGCGGTCTGGCCATGAGTTGACTCAACGAACCACGGCGAGTCCATTTCCTGTGGTCCCATATGCACTAAGGCCATGGAAGATTCAGCCAGCAACGCGGCACAGATAGAGCAGCAACGCCCCAAAATAGGTACAATGTGAGACCCCCAGTTATAAGTTGGCTTATAAGCCCCAGTAACTATAGTTATAAGTACCATAAACCATGGTTTATTAATTTGGGTGGTACTCCTCCAATAGTCAAAATCTGATACTTAAATGGTATCACCCCAATTAAACAGCCGTTTGGGGTTTATTAATCCAGGGTTGACATTAGTATAGAACAATGAAGTTCACCTTGAAAGCATGAGGAAAGAAAACTTCTACGACATCGTGGGGAGAAAACATTACTATTTGGGGTTTCCTGTGGATATCTACTGTTATGTTTCAGAAAAGTTTAAGGATGGGCTAAAGAAACGGATCTAGTCGTGCCGGATTCAAGAATCCCGAGATGCATTCCGGGCGAACCCTTCCCGTCGCTGGTTCCGTTCTCCGCTTCGCCTCTTCAATGTCTTGCTTCATGGTGGTCTTCAAAGCCGTGACCTGATCGATATGTATCGATTCGCGTTCGCGTGGGATCTCAAGTGCCTAAGGGCCTATGGGTGAAGGGCCTATTGGTGAAACATGTATAAACGGCTTGGAATCTGTGATGTGTATGTCGTGTCACGATCCCTTTACTTTAGTGATGATTTTTTTTTGCTGTACTTCCTTCCCCGCAAAGGGATTTTGTATGGATTTTGTGATAATCCTTTGCCCGCAGTGGGAAAAACATGTGCCAATATGTGCCAATTGGTTTGGGGGCAGGAAAATCAAAGTGAAAGGATTCGTTCAGAATGGCGGCAAAGCCAAGCAGGCATGGCTTTCACTAACTGAAATCCCAGATTTTGACGTGGGTATTGTTGATAGGGGACAGGTCATAACAACCGCCAACAAACCCGTGGTACAACCCCCCGGTAACAATGAATAGACTGGAATCAACCGGTCACGGCGCATAGAAACATGTCAAACGGAATATCTAATAGCAATTTGAGAAGATTTTCACCAAGAACTTATTGGTGCTAAATGTAGGGAATGGATGGGTTGCTGGGGGTTGCTGGGATGATTACTAGTTATTGATAGTTATTGAGATGATTCCCATCCATTCCCTGCGTGCTAAGCACCACAGTTATGGCCCTTTACCAGTTATAAGTACTTATAACCCATTATAACCCCATTTATAGAATGTATAATCCCATAGAAATAACCAGTTGTAACTAATAGCCATGGCCATAACTGCAGTAAGAAACCTGCCATTTCTCCAGTCTGCTTCCCGCTGGATCCCCCCGACCGTCTGGTGCAAGGGTGCCAGGTAGTTCTTAACGTCCTGTCGTTGATCAAATTGCATTACTAAGACAAATGTCGGAAACCAGAAGTGTTTTGGGGGCCCAAAAAGATAGCTAAGTTGCTTATAACACTTATAACTTATAACTTATAACTAGGGTTTATCGGGTATATCAACGGTATATCACTGTGCTTAGTAGGATTCATAAACCAACTTATGTGTTTTGGGGTGCCGAATTTTGAGATCACTACGGCTCGTGACCTATTTGAAATGGATCTAGCGCCAAGGCCAACTATAGGATGTAACAATCACTTTTTTACTAGGCTCTCTTGTATTTGAAATGATCTTCTGCAGTTGTAGCCCTTAACCGTTTTACAATTGACTTATAACCTCATTTAAGCGTAATATAATTTATCATACATGTAACATTATATAACCTGAATTGCAGGAGTTAGTTCATCCCATTTATATCCATTTAGAACATTAATAGCGGGCCATAACTGTGAGTCATGGACACGTCCCCACCGTCCTTCTCAGCCCTGCGGTCACACTCCCACAGGGTGGATCGTTCCTGCATCAGGAGTTGAGCATGAGCAAACTTAGATATTGAGTACTTAAAGCTGATTAAAGCTTGCTGTCACTGTTGTTATAAACTACATGTTATTTAACTTCCTTAGATACCCTCTACCAAACTTAATGATATACAGTAACATTAAACGAAACACATATTTAAACCACTATGTTCCTGTGGTTAAAGTTGGTTACCATTTATCAGCATATTCCCCTGCAGTGATGGCAAACAAAAAGAACATGTTATTTCAACAATTGACTGGATTGATTTTTTAATCTATCAATTTACATGTTCATAAGATATTAGTCCATCATATTAGCTGTATACATCTACATACCATATTAAATCATCATTCATCATGGATTGGAATGCTTTAATTAATTGGATAAATGGTTTTTCCATGTTGGATAATCAATTTAGACTTCTATTTGGAAAATCAATGTTGATTCAGAGGGTTGATGCTCCAATAGAAAATGACATGTAATGTTGCACCAGTTATGTTGAAAGACAATCTTAGGACAATTGCAAGGTCATGTCCAGATACATATACTCCAAAGCAAAAGTGGCATTGCCAATACTCCTTCTTAGTGTGCACACACAAATACATAAAGTGACCCTTGTTCCACATAACAGGGACATATCAGTCAAAGTGTATCCATATCTGGTTGGTGGTTTCAACCCCTCTGAAAAATATGAAAGTCAGTTGGAATGATTATTCCCAATATATGGGAAAATAATCCAAATGTTCCAAACCACCAATCAGATATGTTTCTCCAAGGTCTTTGGCGAGCCGCCAAGCCCGTACCGCCCAACTCCTTCGTTCCAGGCATCACGTTTTGGAGCGTGGCGACCACCTACGTCGCAAAGCAACGCTATGTCCGCGAGATGTTTGTGTATGATTTTATGGCCATAAACCCTTGCAAACTAAATCCCATTGATCATGATAAATATCCATGGGATTTAAAAACAAATATTACTAGTCATCATATATGATTAATGTTCTGGTTGGTGGTTGACCTACCCCTCTGAAAAATATGAGTTCGTCAGTTGGGATGATGACATTTCCAATATAAGGAAAATAATCCAAATGTTCCAAACCACCAACCTGCCTGCTAACTTAGTGAAGCAAACCAACTTGGCTAACTGCATGGCGACACGGTTGTGTTCATATTTTGGTTTCGATTTTGGCAATAAACGGTGATATGTATACTGTGTACATCTACGTAGGCTAACAAATAGAAATATTTGGGTATGGGTCAAGTGATCCAGTACCATTTTTGACCCACAAAAACTGCCACTTTGTGACTTTGCGTCTGAAAAACTACCCAGGTTCAAGGGTTGGTCAATGTTGGTCATGTTCACAGTTGCAAAGAAAAAACACATCCAGGCTGAAACAAAACACATCACATGTCTGAAGAAATTGGTTGAATAATTCCTTGGGTGCAAGGGTATAAAGTGTCATGACATCTTTGTCATAATGAAGCCCTATCGATTTGGATCATGCATCAAGCATCCCGCGGTCCTAATGAAATAAGACACAGATACATTGCATGTGTGTAAATATATTTATATCATTTTATATCATACATGTTGAAGAATCATATGGGGATTTCCATAAACGGGGATACCCAATAGCTGGATGGTTTATAAGGGAAATCCATCTATAAATGGATGATTTGGATTGATTTGGGGATATCTCCATGACTTAGGAAACCTCCATGTAGGAATCATGAACCTCTTTAACACCTGCCATCCTGAAATCCTTCCCAGCGCGCCACTTGTTCCCAACGCTGCACCTCACGAATGGAGATGGAACCACAGCTTCGCACGTCCAGGAAATCAAAGGCATCGTGAGGGTCCTGCGTTTTGCTGTGAGGGATCCATACTCAAATGCTCCATGGTGCTGGAATATTTACCAACATTTGCCCTAAAAATCACCCAGTTTTGAAGGTAAATGTACCAGCACCATGGAGCATATTGGGATACATTTCAATATCAACGCGCGGATACGCGTGGAACCAAATTGATTACCAAATGTCAGCTACAGACAAATGCATGCAAATAGGGAATTTCACTGAGAGGGGAAGAAATGCATATGGATACGTGGAATTTGATAGGAGAACTAACAGTCCAGATTCGTAGATGAGTACCAAACGTCAGAGGCAATTTGAGTGAAGTGACCAAATGGTTTCTTTTGTCATCCCGGCCCTCTTAGATACGATATAAGCACAGAAAACAAACAACACCCGGAATATTAAATGGATTCATATGGGATATCAACGTACGTGAACAAGGAGCTGAGATGTGATGTTCACATATGAACCCAATTTATCACATCCCCCAGTGGTTTTTACTCGGGGCGAAAAAAGTTCTTGGCCTGTCCTCACACTTGATATCCAGCTTCTGCAAGAGCTGTGCGAAAGCCTGGCCCCGAGTCCGGGATCCGGTCAAGCAGCGAATGAGGAGTGATGGCTCTGCACAAAGTTCCATGCTCGCCATGTGCGAGAAGCAAAACTGCCAAGATGTCCAACAGACCTTTGATCAAAGCTCAATGGGCAGCAATCCTTTCATTTTCAGGTTCTGAATAATAAGCTAATCGTATCAAATTGTAGGATGAGTTTTTGGTCCTGCAGACTTGACGATAAAACACCAAGTCTGTGCATGGCTATATAATCTGATCGTCATTCAGCGTCGGTTGGGGACTGACGACGCTTGAACATGTTGAGACAACCATGGCAGTGCCTGGCAGGATGCTCAGCACCACTTCAGCTGGCGCATCTTTTCGGCAAGCGCGAAATTGTTGAGCGTTTCCAATGTGTCAGGATGTCCAGCATCAAGGGACCCTGGCATCAAAAAACTCTCGAGAAAGCAGCTCTGCGTCTTCCAACTGGCCTTCTTCTTGGAACTCAATCGCTAGTACCTCTAAATTGCTGACAAATTGCAATGTAGTTGAATGCTCGGCACCTCTGGTGCGCTTGCTCCCATCCACAGATGCCCTGTGACGCTGCAGCCTTCAGGTCGCCCATTGCTTTCAGGCAAGTCGCTAAATTGTTGGCGCATGCCGATGTGGCAGGATGCTCACCAAGGGTGCGCGCCCTGCCTCCCAAAGCTCTCCAGTAGAGCGGCTCTGCATCTTTCATCTGGCCCATTTTATGGAGGCAGAATGCCAAGTTCTTGATGCATGTCAACGTGTCAGGATGCTCTGCACCAAGGGTGCGGTTGCTGGCCTCTAGAGCTCTCATGTGCTCTGCATCTTTCAGCCGGCCCATTCCTTGGAGGCAAATTGCCAAGCTTCTGACGGATGGCAACGCTCCCTGCCCTCCAAAGCTCTCCTGTAGAGCGGCTCTGCATCCTTCCGGTTGCCAATGCGACTGATGTCAATGTGCTTCGATGCTCATCACCAAGGGTGCGCTCCCTGCTGTCCAAAAGCGTTGGCCATTGGCCAGCAAGTTCTTGCGACTCCATGAATTCGCCTCGGGCCCACAGAGCTACCCCTAACCGCTCTTGTGCAGTGACCTTGAGGTCAGGATTTTGTGCAGCTGATTCCTGTGCTCTGAGCGTGTCTAGCAGGCAAGCTCGAGCCACTGCTTGCCTCTGTCTTCGCAGCCTTCGTATTCGTGTGGAAGCCTTTGCGAACGCAATAGAACGAACAGTGATAGAGCAGCAGCTGCGGTTTATGAAAACAAGAGAGCAACCAACTACTTCCGAAGATCTCTACGCGGCTGACACTAGCTGCCCTCCCTGAACCCCTGCTAACCAGGCACTGTCAGATGTTTATCATCAAATGCTTGTCATGATCCTTTTTGTCAATGCCCATGCTTTTGTCATTTGCTCCAGGCTTACTATGCAGAAAAGGCCGTTAATGTCGTAGTACTGGCAGTGCAAGTGTGTACTGATGTGCCTCAGTCAGTGTGTGCACTGACTCACTGATGCACCAGATAATCACTGCGTTTGACTTTGAATGTATCTCATTCATGTTGTCGATTCTTAAAATGATTCATTAGCCTGCTAAATAATAAATAGTAAGTCAAGTCATTGTCATTCATTCATCCATTGGCAATTTGGTGATTGATTTCGCGAATCGACAACTGATTGACCTGGTCAGTCAGCACTGTGAACACTGAGCTGGCACTGACTCACTTCGACCACTCACTGACGCCTTGCCACTGAGGTTTGTGCCTGGCGCCTTGCCAACTGCTTCCATGTCTGGCGTTGGTCTCCATGAAATCTCATAGGCATTCTCTGGGTCGATCAACAAAGGAACGCAGAAAGAAACTCGTGGGGCGGTAAACTTTCCTGACATATTCTTCTCCGTAGTTCACCCTGTCTCTCCTCATCATATTGCGAAAATTGCTGTTGAGGAGCTCCATCTGGGTTTGCCATTGGTCAGGAAGCTTCGGGACGCTGTTGTCACCTCGCCCCCATCAGGCATTGGCATGTTGTCCTTCAGTGTTCAATGATGCCCAGACGTGAGCAGTTTCTTTTTCAAGCGCTGTGATGTTTCTAAAAGCAGGCCCTCCCGTATATATATATATATATAGTATAGTGAACAAAATATCTGGCACTTGGTCGGGTGGCATCTTTTCACACAGTTATGCCAGTGCCAAGATGTTTCCATGAATGGTGGAAAACATCGCTGTTCTCATACTCTTCATTTTGGAACTCTCCACCCTCTCAGTAGAGTGTCTCGAATCAGTCATCTCCATGGCTTAGCCAGAGGAGGGAAGTCTGCAACTCTATGGTAGTGATGATTCTCTATGGTGCCAAATTTGTAGTGATGAATATTCATGGTGGAAAGTAGTTGAGGACTAGCTGACAAGCTGCTCATCAGGATGGGTGTGGAATATACAGTTTGGCTATCTTCACTTACGGCTTGGTGATCGATTGTTCGATTGCTTCAGTGCCAAGCAGCCTCGACCACATGGTCCTAGCAAGCCAAAATGCAACAGGACATGTCCATGCTGTAGAGCTCTCATTTATCGCCCGTAAAGATAGACCCTACGAACGTTCGCGCGCCTTGGGCCCAAGGCGTTTCTCCCAGGAGATGCCGCAGTGTCGGAAGAGGTCCGAGATGCGCGCGTGTCGAGCCAAGCCCTGAAAACATGTCCACCGGGACCACCGGGACTGGCTTCGACCCCCATCAGGAAATCCTTGGGGTTCTTGGGCTTTCGAAAAGGAACATTAGCCATCCCAGTTCCAGGAACCGAAACAATGAAATCTTGTGTTGCCATGTGTTGACCCGGTTGACCCCGCATTTTACCGTCAGATACTCTGGTAATGTAACGTGGCTATTGAACCATAGAAATAGTTGATTTACCAATTGACAAATGGTGCTTTTCTATAGCAAACTGTTGCTTTACCAGAGGATAGTTTTTTTTTAAATAAACCCCATATCCCATATGCTCCATGGTGCTGGTATATTTACCTACACTTGGGTGATTTTTTGGGGTAAATGTTGGTAAATATTCCAGCGCCATGGAGCATTTGGGTATTGCAAGCTCCTTTGAAGGTCACCAAAAAGGGTTAGACTTGGTAGCCTCAGGCCCGGGGAGGACATCTTTATGACCCATATGCATGATCCATGTATATCCATGTATTGTTTCATGTGATAAACCTATAGGAATTGACGATCCCCATCATCACAGGTGGCTTATCATGGGGTATACCCCTAGAACTGATATGATCTAAAATGAGCCACTTCTTTCTTCTCCATCTGCAGGTGACTGATATTTCAAGCTTCAAATTAATGAATATAATGCAGGATGGGGGCCCAGTTCGTTAGCTAAGTTGGTGCAAATAACTATAATAGGAATAGTGTATGATACGCAAATACCTATATTTAGATGGGGTTATAAACCAACAAGCATAACGTTTTGGGGCCCCATCCTGTATAATGAACAAGATACTCCGTTGATCCTGTTCAAGTCCCTCTTTGATGTTGGTTGAACAGATTTAAACAGCTGACATAGCTGATCTATCATGATTACAGGTGAGTGTGGCTAGATAGATTTCGAATGACCATAAGTCTGGATAGAGTATATAGATGGTTAAGTGCCTTAAAACAAATCCCCTTAGCTCGTTTCTTCAGGTACCTATACAAATGGTGCTTTACCCCATAATTTCTTTACACATACATTTGCACTTGTTTGAGGGTATGTGGAAAGTTCAGGTATATAGAATATATATATATATATAAATACAACCATAACTTGGACCATAACCATTATTCATCATGCTGTTTTCTTCGATTGAACCATGCTGAAAGTTTCCGACAGCCAGGCTGGCCATGCCTGCAAACGCAAGGCTTCCACCATGCAACTCGGAACGAAGAGCTTGACACCTCGAAAGAACCTTGGGACGACGCAGCCAGTCGTAGTTCTGAGGGGTTACTCATAATCCTTCGGAGATAATAGGATTTTGCTGGTCAATGAAGGTCAATGACTATACCATTCTGTGTTTACATTAATGCTAAATATGGGTGGCAGTCTCCACAGCCGCGATGACGCTGGGTGTACATCCACAGCACAATGCTGCTCTACATTGGAAAGGTTTCAACCTGTTTCAACCATGTTTTCCTGGTTTACTGGGTGAAATCTCCATCTTCAGATTCCCGTGGCACCAGACCTCAGCACCTGACTCATAGAGCGTTAGCCGTTTGGTGCCATTGGCATCTGCCAGCCAAAACAAATAGCTGGTCTCACGCCTGTGCGTTTGAAGCTCAGCTGGAACAAGCATGTGAGACCTGCAAGCTAATTATGGCCTTATAGGTGCTTTCCTTTGTTTGAACCGTGAACCTCTGCCTATTCTGAGGTCCAAATGTAAAGGAAATCTGGGAAAAGGCAGGTGATTTGGGCAGGTAGCCGCAGCCAATGGGAGAATAATCCTGCGAAGCTGTGAGGCTTCTATTTTTAAGGTCGTTATTGTACTCTTCCCAGGGGGGGTTCTCGGAAGCTATCGTAATTTGATGAGAAATGCCAACCCAGTCGAAGGGAATCTCAAACCTTGTCGAACTAGGCATAAAATAACACTGGATATTCTGCCCAATGCTTATGGTCAGGGGACTATGTTCCAGTTTTGTCGGCTTGCTTGGGGTCCGCAGCAGCTTCTGTCTCAATTATATGGAGCCTTCAAAACAGACAACTGTCGCTATGAGTTCTTTTTCTGAAGCTGGGCTTTGATTCCTCACATATGGCATAGATAGAGCATCACATTGCCACCTGGAAATCGGATACTGTACCACATTCCATCTGATTAATCATAATTATCCCAATAAAATTTACCAAGGGTATAGCGTATTTTCAAACACCCCACATATCTTATCAAATTCGTTGCAAGTCCCAAAATACTATAATCATATATCCATTATATTATTCCAAATTGTTTGGTGATATCTCCAGTGTATCACCAAATTGTCATGGTTTTAAACATCTTCAAATCATCCCCCAGCTGTGCCCCACGTCCTGCTGAAATCCAAGGCTTCCAATATCTCAGCGAACTCGTCGCAGCTTAACCTCGGGATCCATACGAGTAAGCCTCGCAAGTCACCCCAGGTTGCGTTAAGCAAAATCGACCGCACACTGCGCTCACATGTATCGTATATATATATATATATATGGTTTGGGCCAGATTGGAACTATGTTTCTGTTTGCCTTTCCGATGGGGCAGAACCCCATTCCGTTGGAAAAAAAGTACTTGAGGTGGCGCCCCTGTGAGTTCATGAATATCCCACCAGGCTTCATGGTGATTATAATTGATCATGATTATAACTAACTGTAATTTGATGAGGTAATATAAAACAACCGACAACCCTTCGTAGGGAATACGGTTGTATCAACCAAATATGATGACATTTGGGACCAAAATCCAAAGTTTTCAAGTTTCCCATTTTGGATTTACAGTACATATATACATATAATACATATACATACATCAAGATCCAAAGCTAAGGGAGTTTTTTACCAGTTGCAGTCACCTCATTCTGTTCTTTCATCATTGCGGTTAGGCTTCTCCAAGTTGACCCCTCGCTTCACTTGTCTTCTCGAACAATATAGTCAATCGATGCATTGATTGGAAGAAAACAAAAAACAAACATATACGCAATTCAACAGATTCATACATTCCAGATTCCATAAGTGCCAGAGTATGCAAGCAAAATGAATATACATATATATATATATGTATGTATATATATAAATATATATAAAGTCAAAGCATGCTGTGTATAAAGACATATAGATGCATATTCAAATCTGTGCATGTATATACGGCCATCTATGTATATAGACATGGACAATCAATGATGTGTATATATATAGTATATACATAGGCAATAAAAATAACATAGAGTAAACACAAAGAGGAAAAAACATCTCAGATGGTTGGGAGTCTTAAACATTGCCCCGTCCCAGTCTTCTAGCAGTACTAGTTGGAGTCGACTTGCTGAGATACAGCACCAACTAGATGAGATTAGTCGATCACAATCCGCTACACTGGAATCCGCTATTGTATTGGAACACGATGACGTATGTATGCAAAATGCATACATATGTATATATATATATATAATTATATATTATGGATGCGGACACAAGATGTGTGTGAACCTACGACCATGATGTACCTACAAATACAACATAGCTAAACACCTGGCCCATCCCCCTCAAATGAGATTGATTCCACAGAAACCTCATGTCGTCGTCATTGTTGAGCTCCTGATTCATCGCTCCAAAGCGAGGAGCGAGTTATGCCAGCGCCGTTCACTTGGGATCCAATGGATGGAAACTACCACTACTATTTCAATGGCAATTGTACATACTGATTATTGTTTATATACATAATATACATCATATAGACAATTTTCCAGATGATGTTGAATATAGGGTCTTGACCGAAACCAAACAACAGGCCAAAGTGTGAAACTCTGCAGATTTGATTTGGTCAACCCATGGTGAAAACCACATAGATTTTTCGATATAAGTCTCTTCGGCCTGTGCACCATACATCATAACGGCGATGGTTGCCCCAAACATTGTTCCCATTGTCAACTCCTTCATGCAAACGTCGTTCTGGGTGTATGTGACTTCCTGTACCTCTGTGATGGCCCGCACACAGAGAATCAAAGGAGCGATCTCCATGCCGGCGCGGGCTCTCCGCCAAATTTGCTGACGAGCAAGTGATCACGTTGCAATACAGGAAATAGGACCTCTGGCGCTTCATTCAAGTACCCTCTGGTAATTTAACATAGCTATTGAAAATTGCCATTTATAGTGAGTTTTCCCATTCAAAATGGTGATTTTCCATAGTTATGTCAGTTTACCAGAGGGTATTGCTGCAGATTCACCACTGCCTTCGTCAGTCTGTGCAACGTCCCTGTCTGAATCACCGCCGACCGCCGTCTCGTCTCCCAAGGCGCCTTGTGGCCGCCAAGACATGCTTTGTTCCAAGTTGCAGCCTTTCACCTCACCCTCTTTCACTTCATCATTAAAACAGTATCTACATGTATCTACCGTAAACAACTTTTACATAATCCTGAAAAATTATGGCCAATAGTTCCAAAAACTGTATATGGGTTAATCACCACCATTGACGTATTGAGCACCTGGTTGACAAACGACATTGAAACCGATTTGGGTCCATTGGTGAACTTAACAATACACGAGAAAAAATGCCTCCTTCGACATGAATTTGATCCGAGAGGTCCGATAGGTCGATGGTGAAAAATCACATATCATAAGTATCTGGTCATATTCCAAAAAGTCCTTTTATCTCCAACCCATATGCGAACCATGGTGCTGGTATATTTACCTACAAAACTGGGTGATTTTGTTCGGGTAAATGTTGGGAAATATTCCAGCACCATGGAGCATCAGGGCAATGAAATAACCCTGTATGAAGTCCCATGATATCTCAGTCTCCCGTTCGAAAACACTGACATCTCGCGTTCAAGTCATCGGGGTGCTTCATCTCAAGGCAAGGCCCCGCGCCCCGTTGCGTCCTCGATCCCTGTGTTTTTTTCCCCACATCTTTGTGTGGGGTTCTTGTTTTTGATTCTGTATCCCGGGCTTCTCCTCCTCCTCCCGCCGCCTCCGTAACACAACACACACAAACTTAACATACAATAATTTCACACACACAAACTTAACACACACAAACTTAACAGACAATAACTTCACACACACAAACTTAACATACAATAATTTCACACACACAAACTTCACATACAATAATTTCACACACAAAAACTTAACACACACAAACTTAACACACACAAACTTAACAGACAATAACTTCACACACAAACTTAACATACAATAATTTCACACACACAAACTTAACATACACAAACTTAACACACACAACCTTCACACACACAAACTTAACAGACAATAACTTCACACACACAAACTTAACACACACAAACTTAACAGACAATAACTTCACACACACAAACTTAATATACAATAATTTCACATACACAAACTTAACACACACAAACTTCACACACACAAACTTAACAGACAATAACTTCACACACACAAACTTAACATACAATAATTTCACACACACAAACTTCACATACAATAATTTCACACACACAAACTTAACGTACGCAAACTTAACAGACAATCACTTCACACACACACACCGTCGTTTTGCGTGGCAGGCGTGGTACACATGGCACTGGGTGGCCGCCTGTGACGCCGCGGCACTTTGCGTGGCAGGCGTGGCACTTGGTGACATCCACCCTCGTTTCACGTGGCAGGCGTGGCACAAAACTCGCATCCACCGTCGTTTTGCGTGGCAGGCGTGGCACTCATGGTACTGGGTGGCGCGCTTGGTCCGGATTTGTCGCCTGTGACGCCGCGGCACTTTGCGTGGCAGGCGTGGCACTTGGTGACATCCGCCTTCGTTTCACGTGGCAGGCGTGGCACAAAACTCGCATCCACCGTCGTTTTGCGTGGCAGGCGTGGCACTCATGGTACTGGGTGGCGCGCTTGGTCCGGATTTGTCGCCTGTGACGCCGCGGCACTTTGCGTGGCAGGCGTGGCACTTGGTGACATCCACCTTCGTTTCACGTGGCAGGCGCACAAAACTCGCATCCACCGTCGTTTTGCGTGGCAGGCGTGGCACTCATGGTACTGGGTGGCGCGCTTGGTCCGGATTTGTCGCCTGTGACGCCGCGGCACTTTGCGTGGCAGGCGTGGCACTTGGTGACATCCACCCTCGTTTCACGTGGCAGGCGTGGCACAAAACTCGCATCCACCGTCGTTTTGCGTGGCAGGCGTGGCACTCATGGTACTGGGTGGCGCGCTTGGTCCGGATTTGTCGCCTGTGACGCCGCGGCACTTTGCGTGGCAGGCGTGGCACTTGGTGACATCCACCTTCGTTTCACGTGGCAGGCGTGGCACAAACTCGCATCCACCGCGGCGTGGCACTTTTGCGTGGCAGGCGTGACGCACTTTGCGTGGCAGGCAGTTTCACGTGGCAGGCGTGGCACAAACTCGCATCCACCGTCGTTTTGCGTGGCAGGCGTGGCACTCATGGTACTGGGTGGCGCGCTTGGTCCGGATTTGTCGCCTGTGACGCCGCGGCACTTTGCGTGGCAGGCGTGGCACTTGGTGACATCCACCCTCGTTTCACGTGGCACGCGTGGCACAAAACTCGCATCCACCGTCGTTTTGCGTGGCAGGCGTGGCACTCATGGTACTGGGTGGCGCGCTTGGTCCGGATTTGTCGCCTGTGACGCCGCGGCACTTTGCGTGGCAGGCGTGGCACTTGGTGACGTCCACCTTGATTACATGCAAGGTCGTTTTGCGTGGCAGGCGCCTCACTGATGGCACTTGGTGACATACACCTTGATTTCACGTGGCACGCGGTGGGCACAATCTCACGTCCATGACGCCAGCAGTTGATCATGACTATTTACCAGGTATGATTACCAGCCACAGGGCATGCAGAAAGAGTTCGCAAAATTTGCGGCTTCGCCCGAAAGAGTGCAGAACATTACTTTGGTCAGCGGAAGTATGGAGAGCACACCATCGCTTTGATAGAGGGCTCTGCCACAAAAGCTCTTTCGGGAAGCAACGTCGGGGAAAAAACCATCAGAGCCTGGTGGAACTCGAAGAAGGCGAGTGAGACACGTCGTGAGACCTAGTGTTCAGCACACACCCTTGGATCCCACAAAGAATTTCCGTGGTAAGCATATCTTGTTTCTTTTCTGGCCTTCAGTGACAAGTCACTATCTAGTGGAAGAAACACCACCAGACGCGCAACTTTGTCACACACATACACATACATACATTCATACATACATACATACATACATACGTACGTATGTACATACAGACATACATACGTACGTACGTACGTACATACATATATATATATATACATACATACGTACATGCATACTATCTTTTCACATACTTTCACACACAGTCTTTCACCACCTCCTTTGTCTTTCCTTCCTTCTCCGACCCCGCTACAACCTTTGAAACTCATTATTGGAAGAAGTTGACTTGTGGGGTTATCCGGTCCTTTAATTTTTTGCGTCCCAGACGTTCTAGACATAAAGGGTTTACTCCATTTACAGCCGGCCAGTGATTATATATCCCATTTTCAATATCCCATTGATATTCATCAAATCAAGTCCCTATGTTCACTGGTTAAACACCATTATATAAACACCAGGACAAATCATAGTACATCAAAAAAATCTCAGGTTGTTGGCTAGTTATATCCCATAAAATTACATTATATAAATCACCATAATTCATGGGATGTTCGTAGGATCTTCACCTTCAAAGGGGTTGACGCTATTAGCTCACAGTACATCATAGGGTTAACACCATGAAAACAAACATGAAAAACACCATTAACATACCATTAACACAACCTTAAAACATCATCAACACTGCATCAAAACACCATTAAAACAACCTCAAAACATCATTAGCACAGCATCAAAAAACACCATTAACACAGCATCAACAAACATTAGAACACCCTTAAAACATCATTAAGACATCATTAAAACAGTTGCAACAACAAGTCAACACTGTGGGTCATGCTGATGGTTCTTTGCCTGGGCCATCTCTGATACTTCGTGTGCCTCTCTACTCGATAGGTCGGTCGCCGGGAAATTAACAAAGAAAACATGCTGGCTTTATGACCACTATGATCCCGCTATTGGATATATACTGGTTGGTGATTGAACCACCCCTCTGAAAAATATGAGTTCGTCAGTTGGGATGATGACATTCCCAATATATGGAAAATAAAACATGTTACAAACCACCAACCAGTATATATATATCCCCATGTTAGATGTTTAGTTCCATCATGTTGTTGATTCTACATCCCAGTAAATATCCCCCTTGATATCCATTGATTCTTAAGCACCATGAAAAAACATACTACATCAAAATGTTTTTTTCACATTGTTGGCTAGCTATATCCCATGAATTCCCACTAAAATCACTAGAATTCATGGGACACTCATGTGATCTTCACCTCCTTCATAAAAGCCTAAACAGCCTTAAAACACCATCAAAACCTTTAAACAATCATGAAATTACCATTTAAATATGATTAAGCATCATTAAACACCCTGAAAACACCATGAAATCATCATTTAACATCATTAAAAATCATACAAAATCATCGTACTGTACACCGTTACGAGTAATCCCCATGCACCCGTTAAGCCCGTTAAGCCCGTTACGCCGCAACGCGTTGCCCACGCGGCCTCGTTCTCCATGTGTTCAAAGGATTCCCGGAAGATGGCCTCGATGCTGCGGTAGCGCTGCTGCACCTGGCGGCTAGATGTCCCCAGTGGTTTCCTATGGTTTCCTATGGTTTCCTATGCTTAATAGTGGTTAATAGTGGTGAATAATGATGGTTAATAATGATGGTTAATAATATTTAATAATGGCTAATAATGATGGTTAATAGTGGTTAACAATGGTTAGCAATGATGGTTAATAGTGGGTAACAATGGTTAATAATGGTTAGTAATGGTTAATAATGATGGTTAATACTATTTAATAATTGTTAACAATGATGGTTAATAGTGGTTAATAATGGTTAATAATGATGGTTAATAGCGGTGAAAAATGGTTAATAATGGTTAATAATGATGGTTAATAATATTTAATAATGGTTAATAATGATGGTTAATAGTGGTTAATAATGGTTAACAATGATGGTTAATAGCGGGTAGCAATGGTTAATAATGGTTAATAATGATGGTTAATACTATTTAATAATTGTTAATAATGATGGTTAATAGGGGTGAATAGTGGTGAACAATGGTTAATAATTGTGAATAATGGTTAATAATGGTTGATAATGGTTAATAATGATAGTTAATAATATTTCATAATGGTTAATAATGATGGTTAATAGCGGTTAATAATGGTTAATAATGGTTAATAATGATGGTTAATAATATTCCATAATGGTTAATAATGATGGTTAATAGCGGTTAATAGTGGTTAATAATGGTTATTAATGATGGTTAATAATATTTCATAATGGTTAATAATGATGGTTTATAGTGGTTAACAATGGTTAACAATGGTTCATATTGGTTTATAATGATGGTTAATAGTGGTTAACAACCTCTAATAATGGTTAATAATGGTTAATAATGGTTAATAATTGTTAATAATGGATAATAATGTTTAATAATGGTTGATAATGGTTAACAATGCTTAATAATGGTTAATAATGGTTAATAATGTTTAATAATGATTGTTAATAGTGGTGAACAATGGTTAATAATTGTTAATAATGGTTAATAATGGTTAATAATGGTTCATAATGGTGGTTAATAGTGGTTAACAATGGTTAATAATGGTTAATAATGGGTATTGATACTATTTATTTACTATTGAAAACTATCGACTAACTATTTACTAGTGGTGAGCTAATTCGTGTGGTGTATGAAAGTGGTGAATTAGCTAAGTAAATAAACCAGCACCATGGAGCATATGGGATATGGGGTTTATAAAAAATATCTATCATCTGGTTAACGTTTAAATTTTGCGAACTGGAACACCACCATTCTTAGATGGGTAAATCAACAAACTTTCTATGGAAATTTTCCATAAATATTTTAAATTACCAGAGGGTAGGTGGGTATTGATACTGTAATACTATTTATTAGTGGTAAACTTAATCGTGGTTTATGAGTGGTGAATGGGTAAATTATAATATTTCACGAGCCTGATAGTTCGGCCATTTGAAGATGATTTCCTTATAAAAACCATGGATTCCAGTGAGATCGTTATACCCACCTAATGTACTACAACATCGATACCAAGAAACAAAGTTGTCAATAATACCCACCTACTGAGTGCTAATGATAGTGAGTTTAATCCTACCTATACTAACGTAAACTCAGCTGGTGGCGAACAAAAATACTGAGTTTATGTCACATCTATTAATCAATAATAAACTAATGAGGTGGGTATAAATAGTTAGGTGGATAAGTACTATTTATGTCTATTTATACTGATGAGATCTCATCAATGTATACAAATTACTCACATTGGATGGGGTGGTGAAACAACAGACTTGGGAAATTACAAAATCAACTGGGATTGCAGTTATTGTATTAGGATGTATGAGGTGGGTATTTCTATTTATACTGATAAGTATACCAATTACTCACATTGGATGTTGGGTAAATCAAGTATTTATAACAGTTATAAGTTATACTGTAAATTGGGAAACGTAATTTATAGTATAGATGGATCATGATCGCATTTAAAAAAAAAAACACATTAATTGACGATATCATGATGTACACCAGGGATATCATTATAAATAATTGATGGTGATGCTGTGAAACCAGGTATTATAATGTATTTTGATGGTACTATTACCAAGTATTCATATTTATTAAATAGGGAAGGCATGCTATGATTAATAGGGAAAATTATGATAAACCAGGAACACATATGATTCACCCGTATTTTATCCAAATGACAATTTTTCAAAATTTCACAGTGAACATACTGGCTGACCAGTGGACGAAGAGGTACGCCAAATTTCCAGACAAAGCCAAGTCTGAACCATGGTTAACCCTAAAACATGTTTACCATTCACCTGTTCAACAGAAGTGATGCAGCCACCAAGAATCCGACACTTGTATATGCACTTATAAACCAACATATGCTTGAATGAAAATGCACCGTTTATGCAAAGTTTGGTATATGTTGCTGGGATTGAAATAAAGGGATAATATGAAGGGTACTTCCTTGGAAGGTTGAAATTGTCAGTCCGGTAGAGGTCCTGGCAAATCCTGGGGCATTAAAAGCAGTAGCCTGCGGTATTCTGACGACCACATGATCCCAACCATCTCTGGCGAGTGCTTCGGGAGGCAAGGTCCTGGATCTGCCGATCTGGTCGCGACCCAACTTGCGACACATAGACACGGCCTTCACTCGTCACCTGCGGCATCGCATGGAGCAGCTGGTTGTGTCGAGGTTGACTGCAGCTTCTCGACCTCGTGCAGCCATGGCCCCTGGAAATGCACGGTGCGCCACCCACTCACGAAGGAAAACGATGCTTTGATGGGTCATCAATACTACAATGGGAATCCATGGGAATCTGATAAGCCCCATGAACCTGAACATGGGGGGTGATCATCCCCTTGTAAGATATTTTTGTATGGGAACATACGTAAAATAAATCATGCAAATTGACCATGGCACATATATCATTACTAGCTGTCCAGAAAACATGGTCATCAACTCCCTTTGGACCTGAAAAATCATCCTGCATGCCCGTCTGGAAGGCTTTACATCAGTGGGCAAATTAAGGGTACGGGCACGTCTTGAATCTCTTGATCGCTTCATTTTTCTGGATCTTTCCTCCAGGAAAACTACAAACACCCATTAAATTCGATGTTTTACTTGTTCAAAGTTGTGATTTTTCATAGTTATTCTCGTTTGATACTAAGGGTAAATCCAAATGGGCCAGTGGCTTCTACCCGGGAAAAAAACACGTCGAAGTGCTAACGCACGGGAACAGAACGCCTTGCGACGAAAGTCTTCCATGTGCAGCGTCGGGCGCGACAGGGCCAGCGCGGAAAGGAGCCTCGGTGGTAACGGATGTGGATTGGTTTTACTGGGAAATGAATGGAATGTAAGGGTGATTCAATGTGACTTAAAAAGCTATAAATTGATTTCTAACTAAGTTTAAGTGAAATTGTAAGAAAAAAGATGGGTTTTGCAAATAAAAATCTGGAGTTTACCTGCAGATTTCGCATGATCCAATTCTGGAAGAGAGGAAAACCGCCTCCAGTAACTGTAGTGCTGTTGCAAATTCAATGTAACAAGTCCACTAGCCATCAAAAACTGGAAAATCTGAGCCAAATGTGGTTACCTGGTTAGGACATGTTAGGACTACCCCAGTTTGCTCCATTCCATCCCATTGATCATCATCGCTCATTGATTTTTTGCCACAACTTGGTGTATCCCCTGTGTCTGGATAAGCCAAATACCTAACCAGCAGAATTTCTGGAGATGGAAATGGTGATTTGCAATCAGCAGACTTTCCATTCGTGGGAAAGCAACAGCTAGAACAAATCCAACAAACATTATGATAAACTGGGAATTGATTGATGGTGCCGCGAGCGAACGAAACGTAGACAACACCGGCACAAATCTAGGTGCAACCGAACACGAACCTGGATACTTGTGACTAAAAAAACATCAGGCATTTGACTTCCATAATTGTTGGAAGGGACCATTTATGTGGTTTTACCCTGTTTTACCTTTGTATTTGGGCAAAGCTCACCGTGATGTCCATCGTCCATTTTCCCAACACAACGAACTAATCTGTTGATGGACCACAAAATGTGGTTGTAGCTCCATGTTGCAACTAGAGGACCACCTGTTTTTCCCCACCTGCCAGGTGAGGGTTGTTAGATTTTATGTCAGTTGCCTCCTCCTGCCTCGTCCTCCTCCTCCTCCTCTCCTCCTCGTCCTCCTCGTCCTCCTTGTCATCCTTGTCGTCCTTGTCGTCCTCGTCGTCCTCGTCGTCCTCGTCGTCCTCGTCCAACTGCGACCCGCGATCCACAGTGTTCTCTGCCGGACCTCAACCACGACCATCCACGCCCAGTGTTCCCTGCCGGACCTCAACCACGACCATCCCCGCCCAGTGTTCCCTGCCGGACCTCAACCACGACCATCCACGCCCAGTGTTCCCTGCCGGACCTCAACCGCGAGTATCCACGCCCAGTGTTCCCTGCCGGACCTCAACCGTATCCAGTGTTCCCTGCCGGACCTGAGTCCACGCCAAGTGTTCCCTGCCGGACCTCATGTAGGAAGATATGGGAGTGCAGAAGAATTTGCAGAAGAATGTCAGAAAAATGTCAGAAGATATGCCAGAAGATATGCCAGAAGATATTCCAGAAGATATGCCAGATAGAATGCCAGATAATGCCAGAAGATATGCAGATAGAATGCCAGATAGAATGCCAGAAGATATGCCAGATAGAATGCCAGAAGATATGCCAGATAGAATGCCAGAAGATTTGCCAGATAGAATGCCAGAGATATGTCAGAATATATGCCAGAAGCCAGATATGCCAGATAGAATGCCAGAAGATATGTCAGAATATATGCCAGAAGATATGCCAGATAGAATGCCAGATTGAATGCCAGAAGATATGTCAGATAGAGTGCCAGAAGATATGCCAGATAGAATGCCAGAAGATTTGCCAGATAGAATGCCAGAAGATATGCCAGAAGATATGCCAGATCATATGCCAGAAGATATGCCAGATATAATGCCAAATAGAATGTCAGAAGATATGCCAGATAGAATGCCAGAAGATTTGCCAGTAAGAAAATGTATAAACGTCATGGTGGGGATCACACGAAGTAAAGTATTTTTTTTATCAAATCCCCATGTTCACGCAGTGTGGTGCCACCCCTGTTAGTTGGTTCATAAACCTCATTAACTATCGAAATATCTACTATAAACCAAACTCTTTACTATATGTGTACTGCATATAGATATATAAAATATTTATATACGACGATAGATAGTAAACACCGAAAAGATAGAAACATGACATCCCAAAATAGTCCAACAAAATATCGGGTTTTACTTTACATCCATATGGTTCTGTCCGAAAATGGGCCATGGTTATACCTTCTAAAAATCCATTGAATGGAATAGGGAAAATGATCATTAGCCAATGGGTTTTCAAGGATTTAAGAGGGATAGCCGGGATAGCCATGTATAGCCCATATACATTTTATGCCTGATTATGGCATATCTTTACCATATTTTCAGAGATTGGGGGGTAGCCGCACATTTTACACCAATGGATTGTATGGTATAAATATTGTATATATCCTGTGAACATATGTTATAAATCATTAAGTTTTCTATAGCCACATATATCACCATTTTACATATATATACACACACCATATTTTCAGAGATTGGGGGTACCCAGGCACATATATATATAGATATATATATATATATACACCATAAATATATATACCATATTTAAACAATATATATATAATATATTTATAAATATATATATACAAATTATATGTATCACACATATATACCGTAGTATACCAATGGATTTTATAATTTTATAGCCATCTTTTCATCACAAACCGACCCACATGGAAACCATGGACCTAACCCGACCAAAGCTGCTCCGAGCGTGAGAGCTCCCCTCCAGCATCCACATCCAAAATGCGGCTGGCCTTGTTGAGTTTCGATGGTTTTTTTCGGCACCAACGGCAACGGAGCTTATGGATGGGAAATTGGTACCAAAAACCATGAAAAATCCATGATTTAACGAAGAAAAATCATGGGAAATTGGGACTGAACCATCAGGATTTCACCAAGAGAATTGATGGAAACATTGGGAATTTCGCCATGAAAAATGAGGAAAAGAGAGGAAAATAGTTGGTTTCAACCGTTTGTACAAGGTGATGCCCAAGTCTGTTGCTAACAAGTTTATAACCAGCAATAAAACAATATTAATGGAATATCCCATGGAAGATACATGTGGAGTGCATATCAGGTTCGTTGGCTAAGTTGGTTTAGTTTACCAATATGTCACTAAGGTTTGGGGTGCATACACCTATAGTAAGATCGGGTTAGGAATCAACATAAAACCAAGCAGCACCACCTTGTATGGTTTATGGTGGATATGATGTATCCACAGTTTGATGGGTGAACATGATCCAATTTTTGAAGGGGAGGACGCAATGTAGCCTAGATTTTAAAAATTGCCAAGGTCATTGCCAGAGGTATTCACCTAACGTTTTTTGAAACACATGCTTCATATTATTTACTGCCACAAATAATTGAGTGTAGATGTGAACCCCATTCTGAAAGCAGGTGATTCAATGAATCACATCATATGGTTTTGTCTGAAAATAATCCCTAAATTCACATTCGGTTGATCATCAGTTTCCATGATTGTCCCATGATTTTCCCAGCGCCCTTCATGGCCATGTTTACGGAGCATATCTGAGCAGCACATAGCTCAGTGGAAACAGGGTCTATCAGGGGCACTGCTCAAATATATAAAACTATATATCTATATATATATATAGACTTATGTGTATATATATATATATTTATTTATTTAGCTGTGTTCTTTCACCCTAACAAACTTGTAAATGGCTTAGAAGCAATCGGCGCATTTTGAGTCCTCTTTTCTACTGCTTGCAGGTCCCCGTTCTGCACATATACTGTACTTATAAATGGGGGGTACCCCTAAATCGGGGGTACCCCTAAATCATGCATTATAATTTGATTTTCCATTATAAAGGGGATCCTCGGCACATATTCTCACAAGGTATCTGAGATGAAGCTCCAATTGTCCGGATTCATTGACAACAGCGACAATGTGTGTGTGGTCTTGATTTGACCGCCATGCTGAATCCTGACAACATACAGACGCTAAACAAGCTGGCATTCAAGACATGTACAGCTTGCAGTTCTGTTCTACGACTATGTCCTGCCTCAATGTTCAAGCTTTCAACGTAATCCATGAGACTTGTACGTATGTGGCTATGCCATTGAAATATGGCGCTTAAAGAGCATGACATCTCAATGCTAGGTAGCTGAACCAACCATTCAAGTACCATGGGCTACAGTGAAACCACTCTTTAAGAACCTACTGCAATACGAACTTCAGGGGCTGGATTTCTGTCAGGCAAATGAAATAAGAACCCTAGGGTGCCCTGGAATTCTGCCACTAGTTCTTATTCCCCTTTACCGGGTATCAATATACCAAACACTGATGATTGATATATGAAAGCAAGAAGCAAGCACACAAGAATCAAGCAAATTGCTAGCGCCGCAGGGATTTGAAGCCCAATACGCCTAGCTAGTCTGAACGCAACTGAGCCCGACACCAGCCGGACTCACTAGAGGCCATCTGACTTCAGATTCTGCCCTTGGCTTGTGTTGGTTTGTCTTGGCTTGTCTTGCTTGTGCTGCCTTGTTTCGGGCCCCTAAATCAAAAATCTTTTCGGCGCCTAAACAGTTTCTTTCTCCCCCCCCGCCTCCTTTGCAACCTAATACCACGCCAAAATGAATTGGCAAAACCCTCACGATGTGAACCCCTTAAGAACTAACCCGTTAAGAACTTGAGGGTACCCTCGTTCATAAATCCCATATTTTCCACGTATAGCACTTAAGAACCCCAGGGTGGGCTATAAAATTCATGTCATAATCGGTTCTTATCTCACGGTTCCGCTGTAGCCTATTTCAAGGCGGTATTACTATACTACTGGATGTACCTGTGGCATTCTATCATGGAAGGGCTGGCTGGTGCAAGTTTCACCAAGTAACAGAACATCACAACTGACATACACCACGCTTGAACTGTCTTGGTTGCGCTCGATATGTTTGTGTGATTCGCTTCGCACATCATTAAGATCCTTTCAATCGTTTGATCATTTCCAAAAAAAATGCACCAGTTATTTTCTTAACCCCTCACTTCCACATAACTCCACGTAACTTGACGCACACCACAGACCAGCAGGGGCCTTTTGTGCTGCTATGTGTTTCAGGCCCAGCTTTTCAAGTTTCCTCTCGAAAGTCTCGTGTCGGCGGTCAAACATGGCAAGGGGCAATCCAATTGGTTTTATTGTGTTTGATTTAAGTGAGTCATGGTCAAAGAATGGTATATGGGATGTAACCATCCATGATATACTTAGTAAATCTATTAATCGGTTGATCCTCCAAAATGTGTGTCTAATCCAACTCTTGATCATGGTTGTTATCTCATCTATCACTGGAAAACCAAGGAAAAATTGCAGAGTTATTTTGACCTTCAGGGAGCTAACTAAAACAATACATATGGGGAAAACCCTCTACTCACGGAACAAGCAGGCTCAAAAGCACATCACTTCCATCATGGAAAGATTGTCATTCATAAACAAAGAAAACATCAAATACCTCCAGCCTGTCGTCCCTTTTATACTAGTTGGTTAATTGACTTCCCACTTCATGGATTGTCGCAATCCCCAAAATATTGGCTAGTATTACCATGCACAACCCCAAACAATCATCAATCAACAGGTGTTTTAATTCACTGCTCAAATGGCACAATTCCTCCGTGGCATGAAGCCATGAAAACACTCTTTTGTTTCGACCACATAGCCGGATGGACCATTTCAAGCGTCAAATCCCCAAGGCACAATAAATGTGGCTAAAACAATGTCATAAACACACAGTCACCATGAAGTCATATGTGGTATAAACTAACCATTCCAAGTCATGGCTGGTTTATTACCCTCTGGTAATTTAACGTAGCTATTAAAATTGCCATAGAAATAGTTGATTTACCCATTAAAGATGGTAATTTGCCATAGCTATGTTAGTTTACCAGAGGGTAGTTGCTGAATTCATGTCATGGACAAAATACCCAGCCTGCAGGGTGATACTGCCCCCATCAGCGCCAGGACCCAAACCTGGCAAAGCGCCACCCTGAGATGTCGGACAAAAACCGACAAGTTTCAGAGATCTGAAATCCTCTAAGATCCCATGATGGGCAAATAAATATCTGGTTGGTGGTTGAGCCACCCCTCTGAAAAATATGAAAGTCAGTTGGGATGTTTATTCCCTATATATGGAAAACATGTTCCAAACCACCAACCAGATTAGATATATAATTATATATATATATTATATATATATGGAAAATGTGGGAAATATGAAATCGGAGAGAAAGGAAATCTGAATCAGTTTTTCTTTGGAAATGTCATAGACAACCTTGATACACTGTTCAAATCATGCCCAAATCTGAAATCGATGTCTCAGCCCAGGAAGCAGGTCTTGACCCACTTGGGCTTCATCAGAAATGCCAACCGAAAATCCTCGTGTTTAGCACCGTAAATCAAACCATCTCTATGTTTTTTGGAATTACATAATTCTAAATTACATGTTTGTTTTTTCAAACTGTCGTTTACATTTACCATTGTTATATACCCTCTGGTAAATTAACAGTTCGACCCTGCCATGAATTGGGTGGAAGATTCGTGAAACCACTCAAAATGGGTGATGTTCAGCTTACAAATCTTACTTTCACGATCATTTGTAGTCGTGGTATATTTGTCATACTTTGCTGTATACACCCTTCAGGGTAACAAAATGATCATACAATGTGGGGCAATCGAATTATAAGTTGGTCTGTACACCCATGTTTTCCCCATTGACTATAGTATCTATAGTTAGTTTAAGTTTTAAGTATCATAAACCCTAGTTATCCCCAACTTCGCAATCCCAAGGGGGCCCCCACTGATCATACACATTCGAGCCGCCATGCCTGCCCAAGTCGCATCTGCAGAGTCCCATTTCTGGTGACATCGCTCTGCCTGGAAAAACGTGCCGCAGTGCCGTGGCGGTGATATGGCATATGCCACGTCGATATGGGATATATTGGGAGGTATGCAATTAAAGTAATACCCGATGTTATATTAATAATAAAATTATTGTTATTATAATTATTATTTATTATTTATCATTATTATCTATTATCATTATTGTTTATTTATTATTACTATTTATTATTATTGTTTATTATGATTGTTTATTATTATTATTATTATTATTATTTATTATTATCTATTATTAGTTTTGTTTATTATTATTATTTATTATATGTATCTATATATATATTAATATGTATATATGTGTATGTATATATATATATATGAATTAAAATTAAAGAGTCTGAACACAAATTTGGCTATACTGGCTATATTCCTGAAATGTGGGTCATACCAAGAAGCGGGGATACCAATTGTCCGCTTTTATGGGGACATGATTTTTCGTAGCAGTAATACCTTTGATGGCTACCTATGATTATTGATGATGATAGAATTGACATGGCATACCCGACTTGTTTCATCTGGGAAACGAAGATGGGGTGACTCGAATTTTCTTCCAGACTTTGGCTGCGGCGGTGAGGTCGTGAAAAATGATTGAAAACCTCATTTTCCAGAGATCTCCATGCCCCAGAATTTTCCAAAAAACAATCAAGGACTTTCTGGGTAAATGATCCGAGGTCACGTATTAAATCCCGTTTTGTGCCATGGATTTCTTTCATGATTTCTTCGTTGAAATCCCCATGGGTTTTTCACCATTCCACCATCTCCTCAAATCTTCATGGCTAAAAGCTCCCTTGGCTCCCGCTGGGAATGCTGGGAATGCTGGGATTGCTGGGAATATGGAACCATAGCCATAGCTACCACTCCCAACCACTGGATGGTCAAAAACCCTATGTCGTCCCTTTTATACTGGTTGGTAAATAGCATTTCCCACATCTTGGGGATTCTTATAACCTGTATATTAAAATATAGGACTTCCCATACTCTTACATTACCGACCATTTTTTTTGCGTTGAGAATCTAATCCCCATGTGTTGGGTGGTCTAATCCCCGAACTAATCATCAGCCACTGCTCAGCCACGTGGCCAAGTCTTCGAGCAGCATCCAGGGTCCAACGCTCCCCAGGGCTGCCATCAAGTCGTTCACTGAGGCCTGACTCTTCGCTGGAGACAGCTGGGGAGCTGGTTATCAAAATTGAGAGACTTACAGTTATGGCCCAAGTGAAAAACCAGTTATAAGTACTAGGATCACCCCATTTATAGAATGTATCCCATAGAAATAACCAGTTGTAACTAATAGCCATGGCCATTTCACTGTATAGAGAATCAGAGATCATCGGCCAAAAAAAACATCAATGATGAGATCACTTAGCTTATCTGGATCATCGGATCAGAGATAATATTTACCCTCTGGTTATTTAACATAGCCATGGAAAATCACCATTTTTAATAGGTAAGCCATATGTAAACCATCTAAAAAAGGCGATTTTCCATGGCTATGTTAAATAACCAGAGGGCAACACTATGTTTCCAAACAATGGGAATTAAGTGGGAGTTAACTGACTAAACACTGGTGAGGGGTGGAATAAAAATGCTGTTGTAATCTCAAAAGGCCATAGAACATATCTCAAAACGGCCTCAAAGACTTATTCCAAACGGCTTCAAATAAATCAAGCAAAAAACATGCCAAAAAAAGTGTATTGTCACTGCAAATGGCGATAGAAAGGAGTCTCTTTACACAGTATGAACAAGACTTAACAAGACAATTGACTTGACCATTATAGTTATGGCCTTCTGGCCCTGTTAAAGTATGGGATTATAACCCCTGCAACTGGGGGCTAAAAATATCACTAAAATGAGGCTATAAGCCAGTTATAGCTGTTAAGAGGCTATAGCATCAGCCGTCGCTCAATCTTGATCACATGCTGATGGTCTCTACAGAAAGTGTACAGGAATCCATCCACCTTTGTTTGTGACTATTACCCTCTGGTTATTTAACATAGCTAATACGGAAAATTGTCAAGTCCATTTATAGATGATACGCACATATATATATATATATATTCTGATTCAATAAAAAAAACATGATTCTCCGCGGCTACATTAAATAAAGATAGGGTATTTCCGCTATGGTTTCTTTGGGATTTCATACCTCAATCCAATCCACCTCGTTAGTAAGTATATGGTAGCCACATAGTTTCCCACATGGGGTGATGTTGGTGTAGTTGTTGCAATTACATATATCATACATGTTGTATATTAATATATATATATATATATTATATTTAGTTCCTGGAGCTAAAAGAAAGAGTGTTGCAACCCAATCTTGCCCAGATACAATCACTTGTAAGAGCAATAAGATCTTGGCATTTCATGAAATCTATGGACTGAACATTGCCTACAGTGCCCCTAAATCTGGTGAACACTGGTGAATCTTCATTGTCCTTGTCAAATTTGTGATACAAGCCATCCATGTGTAATTCACTTCTTCATCAGATTGTTAAAGAATATATATATATACCCTCTGGTAAACTAACATAACTATGTAAAATTACAATTTTTAATGTGTAAATCAACTAGAAATTGCCATTTTCAATAGCTATGTCAAATTACCAGAGGGTACATATTGTATCCCAATACAACTTCACATAATAAGTACAGATAATACATTCGTGATCTTCGCATTCGATGGCACCACAGTCCCAGTGCCTTGCTTGTAGGATCACCCCGGTCACGCACATTGTCCTGAGAGAAGCGACCATCTCATGCCCCTGCGGGTAACACCGGTAACAGATCCGGCTAGCGGCTATGAGAGGCTATGAGTCATGACTTGGAATCTGGGTTATCACCAGTTATCCATAGTTATCCTAAAGGAAGCTGGGTGATCACCTGGGTCACCTAAAACATCCTACAGTGAAATGGCCATGGCTATTAGTTACAACTGGTTATTTCTATGGGATTATACATTCTGTAAATGGGGTTTTCTTAGTACTTCTAACTGGTTTTTCACATGGGCCATAACTGTAAAACAACTTGGAAACCTCGACCGATGTTCATCCCCCTGGGTCCCTGGGCGGTGTGTAGATTCACTGTGGGCCAAGTTGGGAATGGAAGATCAACCAGTTTATATCTGATTGATTTCAGCTTGTGGAAAATATCTGATTGCAGTGAAAATCAACTGGTTTGGATTATCCGAAAAACTATATTTACTATAATTGCAGGTTTGTGTATATGAGTTGGTCGCCCTGAATCGCCCTCCCATTGTGAGTGTGGAACATAAACAATCTTTGAGACCGCCAACAAAATACGCAGACTACCGATGTTCCTGTGAAATAGTGACGTGTCTCCAGTCTCTTTAACCTCCTCCCGTATGTGTTCATCTAAAAATAGAGCACCCCTAGCCCCTTGTTTGGTCATATGTTGGTCCATTATCATGGAAGGAACCATGACTTGCAGATATACCGATATAGCCTATGTTCAAACAAAACCCAAAAACACTCTCAATGTTCATACTGTTCTTGACGGATCCCGCACCTTCTTGGGTGCACTAAATAAGATACAATGTTATAGAGGTTGTGGGGATTTTCAATCACCTAGGAGTGGGAAACACGGGCTTAGATATTCAGAAATATACATGTCTTTAAGTCACAATCTCTGCTGTTCGCTTTCGTTATTTTCGTTTACATCCCTTTTACTCAGATGGTGCCATTTGGGTCCCCATTTTATCCGTGTAACTTGGAATTTTTCACCAACTTTGCGATTCCGTTCACGGCACCGTTTCTGTACCATGGAGAGACGGGCCACAAAAATGGCTTGGTGTTCATTGGGCTCCACCACGTGGATTCGGCCTCAGGTTTCACAGGATCCCACAAAAAGATCCACTTGGAACTGGTTAGTCGGTTATGGCCCAAGTGAAAAACCAGTTATAAGTACTAAGAAAACCCCATTTATAGAATGTACAATCCCATAGAAATAACCAGTTGTAACTAATAGCCATGGCCATAAGTGTAGGAACAGTTGAAAATTCATAAATCGCATGCCCAAAAGAAATCACCTAAGGACTGAGAAATAGGACCAGTCACGGCGGCTTCGAACATTGCAAGATCGAAAAATGCAGGGGACTTACTCACCGGGCTTATTCACCACTTGTTACCCTCCGGTAAACTAACATGGCAAAATGACCATTTGTAGTTGATTTACCCATTAAATATGGTGGATCTGTCCATAGTTATGTGGCTGTTTACCGGGTAAGTGGGATGGATCTTGCAAGATCTTCCAAGTGCTTCAGTGATATGATGGAGCTTCGACTAAAAAAAAGTCCGTGACCCCCCACAATGGATGGTTATAGGTGGTCACAAATCATCGTGTTTTTTGGCGGTTACTGTACTAAGGCCTTGAGAAATCTTCTTTGCAATTCTGTTAGAGTTATATATCCGTATATAGAATATTATAGAATATTATAGAATATTATAAATTATGAATTTTACAACTATATACGTATATAAACCGATAGAATTATGATTGGGGGGGTTCAGCATGGTCAGCGTGGAAAAATACTGTTTCTGCTGTTTTGTCAGTGAGTTCTCCTCTGCGTTTGTTTTTTACAGTGTAATGTTGTGTAATGCAATGGTACCAAGGCTGCATATCCAAGATCCATTTGCAACAGAGCACTCGGACCAAGTGCTTGTAGTTGTCGAGCAAGTCGAACAATACAAGGAGTTCTTCCAAGCTTGTAGACCTTGTTGCCATGGATCAATATTCCTTTGCTGCACACAACGCAATCACCGAAAACCAACATGTGAGCTTCTACAGAAACTGTGTAAGCCCTTCGGAGAAATTCCACAAGTTTTGGAAAAAGTGGCGACACTGTACTCCAGGAATACTGTGAGGTGGTCGATGGTTGCGAAACAGATCGCGAATCACAAGATGATAATTCTTCACTCTGCACTGAT